AGTACGCTCTTTTCTTGAAGGTTTGAATGTCGTATCGGTCCGGAAATACCGCAGACGATAACCCGTTCCACAGATTGGTTGTGCGGGGCAAAAAGTGTCTCGAAAAGCGCACAGTTGTGGAGCGCTAACTATCCAGGTAATGAGGATGAAAATTTTGCCGTGTGGAACGATGGCGGAAATTTGCGGCTGGTATTAGTCCGAACAATTCCTAGGAGCACTCTCTATGATATATGCGATAGAGAATGCAGAGTGAAGCCACATCTCTACGTAACGCCAAGGGATCGAGCCGATCGGAGATGTTTGGGCTATCGACGATTCGAGTCGCTCTTCGTTGGATGCGGCCCAGAGAGAGAAGCTGGTACTGAGGTGCCCCTGCGTAGAGATGAGAACAGTATTCCGGTGGGCCGGAGTGTAACACTGCCTCGCTCTGTTCAGTACACCAAGCTTCTTCGAGGCCAATTTGACCTTACCCTTTAAGTGACCCCGAAACTAGACTTCGCTCGATATGTCGATGCTTAGGATTCCGATGCTGGCTGAGGCAGTTAGGGAGGTGCTCTCAAACTGAGGTGATACGACAAATGGTATCTTTTTTGCGGTGAACTGCGGTGTCTTTTTTGGGTTAAACTGGACAAGATTTAGTCGGCCCCAATCTGAAACCTCCGCTAAGGAAGTTTCAATTTCAGACACAAGTTTATTTCGACTCTCGATGAGGTTCTCCAGAGAAATGTTGGGGCGGCCGGTATAAAGGGCATCGCCTGTGCTATCATCTGCATAGCAATGGATGCCACTAGTTTGCAACATGTCATTGATATGCAGAAGAAACAGTGTGGGTGATAGCACACAGCCTTGTGGGACACCAGCATTTACGAATTTCAAGTCGGAGCATGCACCGTCGACAACGACCTTAATGCTTCTGTCCGCAAGGAAGCTGGTGACCCAATTACACAATTTCTCGGGAAGCCCAAAGGAAGGGAGCTTCGAGAGCGCCTTATGCCGACCCGATCAAAGGCCTTCGCTATGTCCAAAGCAACCGCACAAGCCTCTCCTTTGGTCTCGATCGCCTGTGCCCACCGGTGTGTTAGAAAGACGAGAAGATCACCAGCTGAGCGACCCCGGCGAAAACCATATTGTCGGTCATTGAGTAGCTGGTGATCATCCAAGTACCGGAGGAGCTAGCTGTTGATAATGGAAAACATAATCTTAAAGAACAAAGGAGTTATGGCTATAGGCCTGTAGTTGGGCGGGTCAGAGCGGTCACCTTCTTTAGGGACCGGGCTGACTAGTCTCTCACCGATCCGGCTGATGTTCTCCGATTTCGCCCTAGTAATGGCTCTTTTAAGGGACCTGGAGGTAAAGTTATACTGTATTTTTAGCGTGCTGGTATTTACATCGCCTGCCGTCGCTGCATTTGCCCATGCTTGGTAGTATTCCCGCTTTCGGCGGGACACCGTTTCGCAGGATCTGTCGAACCAGGGCTTGGATCTACCACCGATGAGAATTAATGTAGAAGGAACAAATAGTTCCATGCCCTGAAGTACTACATCAGTGACAGAATCGGCAACGACGGTGGGATCATCTGGCAAAAAACAGATCTGCCTCCATGGGTAGGACGCAAAGAAGGAACGCGTCCCAATTTCCATCCGCTGACCTATAGTGCATCACACGGCGGCAGCCTGCAACTCGCGGTCGCGGCGAGCACGTGAGTGGCACTGTACTGCGGATTAGACAATGATCCGAGGAACCAAGAGGGGCTTCAACGAGATTTTGTAACCGTCCGGATCGGAGGTCAGCAGAAGGTTCAACAGTGAAGGCTCATGACTTTCCACATCCGGAACTCGCGTGGGCTTTGAAACCAGTTGGGACAAGCCATAGGTCAGGGCGAAATCGTGAACAGATCTCCCCGCGTGATCGGTCTTGCATGAGCCAAGCCATTTGGCGTTGTGAGCGTTAAAGTCGCCAAGTATCACGATCTCCGCGGATGGGATCTGCTGCAGCACGGAATCTGTAGCCATTTGGACGTGGTCCATCAGTCGGTCAGTTTCGGTGTCACCGCTATGGGACCTGTAGAGGCATGCGTAGACGCGGGGATGGTCGTCGCTGTCTACACGGAGCCACAAGATGGAAAGGTCCCGTCTTTCAAGATTGCTGAGGCGGCGTGAACTGATATCACCTCTAACGTACACGCACACTCCAGCCCTAGCAACGGAGGAGTGTTCCAGATGATAGCCAGGGTAGGAGAGGTAGGATGTGTCCGATGGAGATGGTATCTGCGTCTCGGTTAGAAAGAGCAAGGCCGGCTTCACTGTCTCGAGGTGGTGGTGGACAGCGTTGAGGTTGGAGTGAAGGCCCCTTATGTTGCAGAAATTCACGTTAAGTTTGGCGAGGGGTGGCCTGATGTGCCTGTTCCCGCCGCGGGCAGATATTCTGTCGAGCCGGGGCAGCCCAGACATCCACGATCAGACGTATGGTGTTCTGAGCGTGGACGCCCTGAGGAGGATTCTCCAATGCTAACGCAGCTGGTACCCCCCTGGGGTAGATGATCTTTCAACGGCGCTATCATGAGGGGGGATATAGGGGAGGTTGGGCTCCGGAAACCTCACTCACTCGGTGAAATGCAACAGAGAAATTGCTTTACAATCATGTCATATCCACCGGTCGAGTAAACTCCCACATGTACTGTAGAAATATTTTATTTTTATGACGCATGTAAATTTACATTTTGATGTGTTTATATAATATTTATTATTAGTCTCTGCTTATATAAATGTATTTTATATATTAATATTCAAAATTCTACATTACCTTTTCAGAACATCATCCATTTACACAGAAATAATAATAATATTACTAATTATAGCGACTAAGCAATTTAAGTGGACAAATTACAGTCAGTTGTAATGACTGTACTTGATTAAATTGATTAGCATATTTCAATTTATTAGAACAGAAAGAAAGCAAGCTATGAAAACATAAGAAATCCCTTTTGCAATACTTAATAAAAATAGAAAAAAAAGCAAATTATTCAGATTCACGTTCGGGCCAGATAGAAACGATTTCAGACAGGAAGAATGGCCAGAAAGAAAGAAAAACCATTGATTTCATATTTTTTTCTTTATACACAATTTTCTTACTATTTTTGGTTGAGTAAACTAACCTGATACTTAAGCCATGCTTCGCTCCTAGTTCAATAATAAATAATATTAAAACTTATTAAGAATTGGCTATTAATTACAAGGAATTCCTATCAATTCCTACTGGCAATAACAGAGATAAGCATGTTGAACCAAAATCACCAAAGCTCCATTCCGTTAAGAATACAGTCATAATCTTTTCAATTGTGGATTTAATTGATAACTAGACACACAAGAAGTCTACTCTAATAACAAACACAATAATGCGATAGATTTAGAATACCAAATGGTTCAGGCACTTTAGAGACGTTAACATTCTTTTTTGTACGTGTAAAAATCCAATAAAGGACAACTAACGGAGTTATCCCTGGGGCGTTGTGGCGAAATCAAATTGATTAAATCATATTCATTCATATCATATTGCGCCTAAAATAGGTAGAGGTTCACGAATGGACAAGCATTTTGTGTAGCTTGTGAGTGACATTTTAGTAACGTATGCACTCATTGTATACCTACTGCATATAATAAAGAAAAATATCTCACACATGGTCGTTTGGTCCCAAAACTAGGCATAGTCTGTACTACGGTAACCAGACTGCTGGTAAACTACTTATATACTTCTAAATACAAACATATTATATATAGATAATAATATATCTAGGTAATTATATACCCAGACCCAGAAGAATCGATCGCACTCGTCACAAAATAATTCGTCCTTGTCGGTAGGAATCGGACCCATGATCTAGGATTAGTATTCGACATAATTTTAATTAATACACATTTACAATCCACATATTTAAAAAGGCTCTGCGTTTTTGTTTAACGTGTGTGCATGTGTATGTGTCTGTAGCAGTATAGCTTCTAAACGTTTGCAAATTTTCATACGTATGACTATACTTAGTGTTGTAATAAATTACGCAATTGGGGGCCAGACCCAGGCCACTCCTAGAACAGATATCTTATTATCCTTTCAGCCTATAACACTTAGCTTGTTTACGCTTTTGCGTAGTGCTTAGGCGCAATTTGGTTAAAGCGTTTCTTAAATTCTTTAGGTTACAACTCTACTCGCAAGTATAACGAATAACTCTACAATATTGGCTCTTGGCATTCACAGTTAATGTAAAATTTATTCACTTGTTAGGTGAGATAATAAACCGATTTACTTCTGATTTTCGCCTTATTTCTTGTTAAATTGGTGTTAAATATAGCATCTATATTTTATTGCTATCGTAATACAATCAAAACACGAATTGCCAAATTTTTACAATGACGATAATGAATGTCGATTGAAGATATGGCTTTCTATTGTTATTGTTTATATTATTAAGATCCGTACGTCTAATTCTAAATATGCAAGGCACATACAAACTTAACTTGAAAGTAGAAAACAGATGAAATAGATAACAAATTCAATTCAACAAATAGGTATTTCAAAATTTGTTGGGTCATTTCCGCCGCATAATAGTACACTGATTACTCGTCATAGCATAACCCATTCATATAATTTTGATTTTCATTCATCGTTCAAGGATTTCTTGAAATTATCGAATGACGTAAATCACGACGACAAGTGACAGTTTTCTTTAGAAGAACTTGCGTAAGTTACAAATAATATTACGATGAACGTAGCATTACATAAAGGATACCGCAGGTAAGTAAGTAGAATGAATCGTTGTTAGTAAGTAAACATCGTACGAGTCCGCTTGGCACTGGCGCAGTTGTGACGTAGATTGACTCTTAGAGATAACAATACGTCTTTTAAAAGGCGGGCAATCTATACCAGCACTAAACAATATAAAGTTTTAGACAGTGACACACGTCGAAACATATCTTTATTTCACTAAACGCTAACTATAAACATAAACGATGTCGAAGATAATGCTACTTCTGTTTGTGTTTTGCACTGTTTTTGTTGCCATCTACGGCAAACATTTACACCCCAGGAGTATCGTACATTTCGAAGAGGGCATTGATGATGGAACTAAAGCTATCGACACAAATATTGACGGAATGGAAATCGTAAGTTTAGTGTTTATTTAATTTACTAGTCTCCTTTAATATGTTTTTAAATACACACTAGTATTAACCTATAACATTTAATTTAACTGAGATCATCTTAACATGTTTAAGCATGAACTTAGTAAACCTAATGTGTGCATTAACCTATATTAGATTTTACTTGGTGATTAAATTTCGAACATTTTGAATATCTTGGTTTATGTCTTCGATAGTATCATTTGAACAGGCACTATATGGTCTTTTGTATCATGATAGGTCGAAACATATATTTGAATCTTACAGCTTTACGTACCTAGCCGTTTTTATGCAGTTTTTTAAGGGTTTCTGTACTTATTCAAAAATTAAATATGTACCAAACTGTTTATTGAAAAAATGCTAGACAAAGAATTATCCTCACGTATTAATGTAAAGATAAAGAGGCAGAGATAGTGCATGAAGATATAAATTTAATACAACTGCACGGATGGCTTATTGGTTTAAGCGGTCACTTCGCCGCCTCCTACTACACTGAGTGTTGTGGATTAGATCCCCATGGACAACACTTTGTGTGCTCCACAAATTGTTGTGCTGGGTGTTCTTTGTGTCGGTTTTATGAATGGTTTTAGTCCCCCATGACACACACACACGTCTAATCTAATTTGTAAAATTCAATGTAGGTATGTTTGCTAGTAGGCAATTTATGCGCTGATGTACTGGTCATTTGATAATTATTTATTTATGTACGTACTATTTTATTTATGCATGTACCCTATTTCTCTTTCTGACGCGCTGAGGTCAAAGAGAAATAGGGTACATTCATCTACGAAATAGGCTTCTCTGAAACCGAAAAATTACTTTTCTTAAAACGAAGGTTTAGGTGGTATCAAGGTATTGAGGTGTTCTGAAGTGCTTTTGTCCAATGTAAATACAAACATTCGTCTGCAGTATTGGTCTGCAAACCTTGGAGGTCTCGTTTAAGAAAACCACAACAAAAACTAAAATCCGTTTAAAATAACTGACCGATGTGTAACGATTTTTCACCTCGAAAGTGGCATGAAAATCTTTTATTGTTGTCCTTAGTGGTTGTGAGGAAAATCAGATATTTAAATTCGTTGTATCGTATTTTATAATCAAATGCTGCCCGCGTATCTACATAACATACATATATTTTTTCAGCGTCATTGCTGACTATGACTAAATGTAAGAAAAATATATTATTTCCTAAAATTTGGTGCATTGAGTTTATTTTATAACAAGAAGTATCCGATAAGAAGTGTTTTACCGTTTTCGATGGGTCTTGAAAATTAAACCTTTTTTTCCAGGAGATGATACGTCGCATTAAGCCCAGTTGGTTTGTGCCAGTCAACAACGTGCTATTCTTCAAGAGCTATCCACCATGTGAAGATGGTTTCGAGAGGGATCTACGTGGTGTCTGCAGAGAGGTGTGGTAGGAGACTTCTAAAGTCAAGAAGACCCCTTAAAAGAATGTGACCAAATGGATTGGAAAAAAATATTTGCAACAGCATAGTCGAATTGTGATATTAGTAATAAGATTTAAGTTGATCTAATTTTGGTACGAATGTATTGATAAGTTAGTATGTAAGTGGCTTTACGTAATTAACACATTATGATTTACAACAGCATTTTAATCATTTTCATGGCCTCATCATACCCAAAACCTCTGATCAGAAATATTGAACTATCTCATGCAGGCTTTCTCCATACAACTGTCAAAAAGTCGCCAAATTTGTTTTACGTCAGCTTGACGAAAGCATAAATAAAATACAATAAATTTTATTTATAGTTATTTGTGGGTCGGAATATGATGATTTGACAAATTTGGGTTTAGTTTCTAAACATTTACAGGGATTTTAGAATCTGTATCCTAGAAAGTCTTAGCATAAACCAAAACACCCTCATTTAAAAACCTGTATCTTGAAGATTTGAAGTTGTAAATATGTTGTCTATGTTTTAAATCTTATCAATATTTAAAATTAACTTTCAAACCAACCAAGCATTTTTGATAAAAATTATCAGAAAGAATAAGTAAAACGTAAAAGGTATTAAAATATAAATATTTACCTGCACAATAGGGACTTGGTTAATTTATGTTCTGGGATTTGGATAATTTAGTATTAGAATTTTGAAATGGGACTGGCTAACTAAATAAACTTATTTTGTAGGTTTGTTAGTATGTTATCCGGTATGTGGTGATGGATTAAGATTACGGATTGCCACCACCCACATTCATCCCGTGGGTGTCTTAAGAGCCGACTAAGGGAGCAAACTATGCAGGACAACAAAACTGCAAAAACAAGGAAAACTTGACACAAACCGTATACATACATATGTATAGTAGGTATAGTAGGCCAAAACCTCCTCTCTAAGGAGAGGCCTATGTCCAGCAGTGGACTGTTAAGGGCTGTTGATGATTGTTAGTACGAGCAATAAAAATAAACTAAGTGATATGTATGTATACAGGGTGTAAGGGACTACGTAACGAATATTGAAATAGTGTATTCACACCACCATTCTGAGTTGAAAATCATTGGAATTTTCTGCCGGAAAATTCATTTTTTTCCATGTTTTGGTTAAAATTTATGATTAACTAGCTGACCCGGCAGACTTTGTACTGCCTCAATTGATATTAAGACTTAAACTTTTGTATAAAATAAACAAACAAAAGGAATCCTTTTTTTATGAAAACAATTCAAAAATGCTCGGCATTAAAAAAAAATCGAGTATTTTCATATTTATTCACCTTTTAAACCTTCTCTGGACTTTCACAAATAATTCAAGACCAAAATTAGCCAAATCGGTCCAGCCGTTCTCTAGTTTTAGCGAGACTAACGAACAGCAATTCATTTTTATATATATATAGAGAGAAGAGATTATACCACAATGAGTAAACAGTAAATTTTACCCAAAATAATTCAATAAATACCGCATTTGGTCAAAAACTGCAATGTAATTAATAAAACAGCCGAAGCGCATAGGGCTTTCCCCCCGGCCGACAAATATAGATACTACTTTTCTACGATATCTACGGGGCATGACCTGAGCCATGAGATGAGCTGATTGCATAAAACGTTTAATTCGTTACGACGTCCCTAACATCCTGTATATTGAGTAAAGCGTCTTAACCCTGCACTAGCATGGGCGCATGAGTAGCACTTGTTTCCTCTGCTGCAATCCCCTCGGTGGGGTGACTGGTGGGTGTTGGGCTCGAACTGACCAAAAACCGCACGCCGTCTCGGGTGCCAGTAGCCGGGGAACCAGGTGTACCCTAGAAAGGAAATCCCGGGTACCCCAACGTACTTCTGGCCATCTATGGCGTGTAAATGACCCCCTCCTGTGTAGGAACCCAATGATCCCTATGTGCTTCCGTTGGGGCGCGCGAGCTTCACAGCGCGTCTTGCCGCCACGCCTGCCTGTTTCTGCTAGGGTGACCACACCTGTCACCCCAGGCCTGATCTTATGGAGGACGGAGAGTTCTAAACCTCTCCCGGTCCCCCACTCCGCCATCTCCTACGTAAGCATAACTTGCTCGCAGAAGGACACGGCGGACTGCCACGCACTCTCGCTCCGTACCATGGCGGCAATCATACTACCGGGCGAGAGGACTCCCACTCCGATGGCCACCACGAGGTCATGCGCTATTGCGGGCAGGCTTTAGCTTTTTCCACATCCCTCCTATTTCAGGCCCAAAATGGCACAACGTGTGGTTTAATTCGGTTCGATTCCGATACACCGCCCCGCTGTAAACTCCGGTGGGGTGACGCCTCGAAGTAAAATGAGTTTATGAGCGACTATTTGCTGACTACAGGACTTAAGCAAAACATTGAAAATACATACCATATGTATATAGTTGAAAAATTCTAAGGATCCTAAAACGAAGAACGACAGTAACAAGATCGATAAGTTCGTAGTAGATATTATTGACATTCGTACATGTAATACCTTAAGTATATATATATGCAGTAACTGGTAGTAGTACAACTCTTGTATTGCATGTAAAATAATACTTGCACCACGTACAGTATTACTACAGAAAAGATATTATAGGGTATAAATTGGATAGGGCTTACTACAATCCTGTGTACACAGTTACATTATAAATATTTTAAAGTGAATAACACAATTCGCTTGAAAAAAAACAATTTACTGAAGGCCAAAACAGATAGACCATACATTTTAATAAATAATTTAACGTGTACAATAATTTCCACAATCAACTTCACGACGACACTCACGATTTCAGTAAACTTACTACACGACACGACCACAAACACTAATAAAATTTTATAAAACACAGTCTTTAAAGTTTAAACTATAGGTACAGTGCACTTAAAGATGACTCCGTTGATGAAGAGTATAAAAAACTCGCCGCGTCGCCTCGAGGAGTCACGCTGCAGCCATTTGGGGGTTTCTACCTGGTCACACATCGGGCAAAAATTATCAGAGCTTATTAGAAAATAAAATGACTACTTATTGACACGTCTGTTCTCCTAAGTGGGTGTTCTATTTAGGCCTTGTCAATACTTCACCGCTCATTAGTGCTCCTTAAAACAAAGCTATGAAACTACGCCAGATCACGACTTGGAGCACATCATTTAATGTAGTTTATGATCCAGTGTTTAAATATTTATAAACACGTATTCAACTTGTTACTGGTTGTTAAAAACAATAATATAACAATAGACGGAATAAAATGTGTAATTTGATAGTCACACATGATCATCACATTGCAATTCTTTACTTTTTATAAGAGTACTAGCGGACCCGACAGACGTTGTCCTGTCAAATTTGACACTGCGATGGTAGCGCCGTCTGTCTGATCCAATGTAAAACATTCCAAAATCAACAACTACTAATAAATTAAAAATTAATTAAAAAAACATTGTCCAGCGGACAAAATTGTGAATCTAAACCATTCCCAGATCCCCTTGAACACACACAAAAAATTTCATCAAAATCGGTCCAGTCGTTTGAGAGAAGTTCAGTGACATACACACTCACAGAAGAATTATATATATAAAGATGTAAACGAAATTAGTTAATGTGAATTGTTTGTTATGATTATTGTTTTTACTATCAGCAGTAAAGAATAATAATATTCTTTTCTTCTGTACTTTTTAAAAAACTTTATGGAACAGTAAAAGCAGATGATATTTGAACGGACGTTACGTGATGGTTACTCAGTGGAGACACCTAGTTTTTTAGCTGGTATTAAGGATAACTTCTACTGGTCTCAGCCAACATTTCCTGTGACAGGAAAAATGCCGCGGCATTGTGTTTATCAAAGTAAGTTAGAGTCAACTTTAGTTCATTCGCTTTGATTGCGCGTACTTTTCCGTGGTTCATTGGTTTTGATTCTGCTGCCTCTGTAAGTAGAGAACCTACTAATCGGTGAGTAGATCACCTATTACTAGATCCAGTACAAAGGTATCATTATGGTGGTTGAGCCAAACTTTCTAGGTAGGGTGTATGTATTTTCAATGAGCCTTACGTTATCGTGTAACATCACATGAGTGAAGCGGGTGGGAGCGTGACGGCGCCGTGACCGGACAGCGGCGAAGGCAAAGTTGCAACGCCGCGGATCCACGCGCCGCGCTCGCAGCAAAACGACTCCACATTGTTTATGGCCCGCATGTAGATCGTTGTTACTCCACCTTACAAATAATTAAGCATATATTGAATATTGCCAAGTCGTCATGATTTACGAATACCTTGGAGATTTATGTCAAACTAACTTTGTAGTATCTGCAACGACGTTTATATATTTTACGAATTTCATATTCGAATTAGTTACTGATTAATTACGTCATAGTTACTTTTGACTACTTTTATGCAGAACATACCATACATATTAGTTATCGATTTCGTTTAAAACATCAACCTAACATGATCATTACACAGTAGGTATCCGTAAAAGGAAGTCGTTGCTAATCCTAGTTGGAGTACTCAAGTGAGCAGGAGTGAGTGAGACTTGCAGATAACCTAGCTTCCTGCGCCAATAAATTGCGTTCTCTATCATTTACCTAGAACCCTTTAAATTATGTGCAAATAACTACTTAAAAGATCTGAAAGTTGTAATGACATGATATGTATATCATTGTCGTTGTACACGTGTATATACTTGAGCCAAATGAGTTGGAGTCTATACTTGAGTGGTGATATTGAATACTTACTAATAAATATAAATTATTCATAAATATATGAAAGTTAGTTCAGTGTTATAAACATATTAAAAAAGAAAAATAATTATAGTCCATCTAATCTAAGAGGTACCGTGTGACAGTTCTGACAAGAAATTGATTACTAAAGTATCTGATTCTTAAGAGATTTCGATATCATTTCTTAGTATGTACTAATAGATTACAGTTTTACAAGCACATCATAGAATTTACTAGTAAATCTTAGTATACACTAGACTTGGACACGAGCGATTTTTTTAAATTACATTAACTTACATACTTTTAATTTCAATTATGCGTTTGGATGTCAGATGAATTGTAAGTATTATTAAACACAGACACCTGGACTGAAAATTACTCGTATTAATAAATTAGATTTTTCATACATTTTAACGATTATTCGTATTCAAAGGAATTTGAAGAGCCGCAAACTACGGTAAAGGACCTAACTACGTGACTTTGAACTGCAGTTTGTAAAAAAATCTATTATGTATAAATTGCTTATTTTGCTTTGTTCCAAAGATTTTAATTTAGTCATTAAGAATTGTATCTTGCGACAAAATAAAAAACCGTGAAACTATGTATAGCTCCATGGTTTTACGGAAATGGTTTTTGAAATTATGTGAGTTACGCCTATACAAAGTTGTTTCGGCTTGAAAAGTATGAAAGGTCAAACGGTACTTCTTAGATTAGATGGACTATAATGTAATCAATAAATAATTATAATCCGACACATTAATAACATTCGATACCTTTAAAAAGGCATCGATATTTTAATTCTAATATAATTTAGTCGGTAACAATTACTTCATTAGTAGAGCACAATCCTTTATTGACATAATTGTAACGTTTCGAGAATCGTACTAATCTAGCATCACTTAAAATTAGAATATAGGACGACTCGCTCTTTACTAATGTATGATTCTCGCACGTCCATGTAGTTGACCGCCTGAAGAGACCAGCTATGTACTGGAAAACGTTACAATTATGCCAATAAAGGATTGTGCTAGAAAGTCAGACTAAATTTGTAGTATTTGTCAAAATTTTATTATTATTATAATTATTTTCTATTTTCGTAGTACTAAAAATTTTGATTTTGTAGGGGCGGCAGAAACTGTGCCGCCCCTACAAAATCAAAATTTTTAAACGGGCGGAACCAACCCACGCTACGTAGCTGGTGTATAAAGTCGCTAACATACATAACGATTAAATTAAAGGTTTCAAAGGTCCCAAAAGGAATCGAAGATTGAATCAAGAAAAAGAGTAGTAAAAATTAAGGTGGTTTAACAATTTCGGGTATAAAATGAATTACATTAATATTTGAAAACTTTGCTTTTTATAAAATTATACTATCTTTCTTTTCGGCGAGACTTGTGTGTGAATTTAATCGATTGCCACGTTAGGGGTTGCGGGTTCAATCCCGCTCAGTGCAAATACTCGTAATCATTTTATTATTGGTAAATCGTTCGTAATCTGTTTGCATGCCTGGACCAATTTTGATTGAGATAATATTTTAAGCCCCAACTTAAGTAACTCGTAGATAGGGACATAAATTATTAGGTACACGTATTTGATACAAAAAGTCTTTTGACACAATACGATTCCTATGTATGGTTCTCTAAATTCTAGATGTCTACCGTCGTGAGATATCGAATAATTTTTTGCAAAAGCTTTTTTTGATACTATTTTAAATTATATTTCAAATCAATTCATATTGAAATATTCCAAAAAGATCTGAACAAAGCTCTGGGTTATTCCTAAAATAAAATTGTTAAAGGAACAATTTACTCGTAGTAATATTTGTTTTCACAAATATTACTAAATTAACGACATCTTTATTCAAACAAGTTTGTACGTTTATTAGCATAATTGGTCGCCGAATGAGCTACGGGGCAAAACGCACACGCACTTTCAGTACTCGTCAGTAACTATCTCTAGTTATGATTATGTTAGCAATAAAATAGAAAAGTGACCATAAATCGAAGGGTTCAAAAAGTATTCAATCTTATGGGCTTCCTTTAAAAGGAGCTCTTGCCTCTACTAAAACACCGAAAAAACTAAATGCTATCTATGTTATATACTATGAAAATAAAAAGATCAAAGGACCAGATATATCCAATCAGATCAGATAGATCGAATTGGAGCAGAAATCTAGTTCATTCTAACCTTCTAGAATTTTAACCGTTTCGTGACTTTTTTATGACAAATTTAATGCAAACAAGTTTAATGCAATGATTACTTTCTGAAATATCTGTATCTTTAAATCACTTGAAAAATAATGTTGAAACCTATCAAAACAATATGGCGATATGTATCAAGGTAGTCGTAAGTAATCGTTTATGATAGCGTTGTCATACGTTTATCACGTCTAGCTCGTACCTACTTAACCATTATCGATGCAAATTTTATTTGATAACGTTTATCTATATAAGCCTGTAAGAAAACAAGAAAATCTAAGATTATTTTATTTTTAATTAAAGAATATTATATTTTTACAGTTTATATTTTATTTTAATATCTTTTGTGGTATGAATAGGATTCGAGGCTTGTAAACGATCCATTCATTTTAATCTAAATAAGGGGTTGATCTTGAACTTTAACGGAATAAGCTGAAGTCTTGTACAAACCTTTATTTTGATAGTACAAATGTTGTCGCAAAAATCACATATGGTCACGTGTTGGCGCCCTTAGATATTTAAGGTCAAAGGTCCCAAAAATCAGTTTTTGAGATTATTTCGTTTCCTTTATCTCAGAATTCTCTACAAATTTTGCCTGAAACCTTTTTTATACGTTGAACCGTTTTTTAAATAGAGCGCGAATTTTAAAAATAAATTTTTTAGATGGAGCGTTTAGCCACACGTACCTTAGTGCAGGGTAAATCGTGAATCCCCTTGTATTACACGGTAGTTTTACTTAATTATTCATTAAATAATAATTAAATAACTATTCAATACCTTATATTAATAAATAATTCTTGCGATACTGTTTATGTATTTTTATTCCACCATTATTTAAGTTCTCTAGAAGTATGTTCATAGACAAATTGTTTACATTTAGAAACGAGGAAATGTTTAAAAATTATCTTTCTAAGCATTCGTAGTAAGGCAAGACTATCGCTTAGTCATATATTTCTACGAGTTTTAAACCTAGCCTAGTTAGAAACCACGTCGCTTACAAAGAATGTGTAATTGTTTACACAACGATATTTTTGAATACTGTTTACAACTTAACAAATAATATTACTGATCATAAACTTTCTTAATTTCATATTCTTGTTTTTATAGAATGTTTAAACATGTGTTCCACTAAGCTTTTTTATGATAGCCGGATGCATTTAAAACCGATAGTATGTTCGTTAAACAATTAATTCTACTATTCCGTATAGGTACTATATCCCATTAGACTGTGTTTATAAACCAGTGGGGATTTCTGGTGTAAAAGAATTGTATGCTATCCCCACTGCTATCCCACATTCACCCAATAAATTAAATAAATTAAATTGTTTTAGGTGTTTCTCAAGAATGTTTTGATTGTAAAATATCTGATGATAAAATGATTAATATAAATGATATTTTACTATTTTCGGAGGAAATAATTTCAGATTATTTAATAGTTACAGTTATGCATTTTAATGTTTTATAAAATCGTATGTGAATAAGAAAAATTTAGGCATTATGTTTAGATTTATCACTTAGGTAGGTACTTGACTCAAGAAATAGTGTTAATATTATAAATGACATCAAATATTGTCCGTCTGCTTAAATTAATATTATTTTTTCGGACAATATTTTTTGGACATCTGAGACACAACGCACATCTAGTTTCAAACTAAGCAGATCTTGTACTATGAACACAAGATTGACTGATAGAATACTTTTCTGTTTTTTTTTTAATAATAAAATACATATTTTACACAGAAAACACAACTCCGAAACAAATATTTGCAGTATTCATCATAACAAACATTTGGGAAACCCGGGAATCGAACCCGACCTCAGCACAGCAGTCGCATACGCTACCACTGCACTACCGAGGCCTGTCGAATTATATCACCATTTCAGCCATTTAGCAATAAACAAAACCTGTCATTAGTCTTATTCAGTCATACGACAATTCGGATATCTGATAGTTTTGATTACGGTTACTGAGCTCCTTAACATTTTTGTCCTCAATACGTACATAGATATTGGTTTAAGAAAGCAGTTAATTCACCTCCTACATCCTACTCTTATATGTAAGATTTATTAAGATTTTACCTATGATGATAAGCTGTGTGCCAAGGTATGCAAGCGCGTGTCCGTGCCTTGGCATGGACATCTCAGTTTCTTGTCTCCACTGGCGTTCCTTCCAGTCCCACACGTCTATCGCACCGACACTGCTTGCCGTTTTGTCCTGCAAACATTTGTCCCAGCATGACTTCATCATTGTCTACAGTAATAATTCGTGAAAGAAAAAGGTACTGCCTTCCTCATACTTACCCAGGACCTTGGTTAGAGAGACATTTGGATCGACTTCCGTTGTAAAGTGGATGATTTAGACAAACACAAAACGTAAATTACACATTTTATAACTAGCGTCTATTTGTTAATACTTACCTTTTCTGACACTTTGCCAGCTCCACCGACGATATATAATTTATCGTTCATGGCGAACATCGTAGAGAAACATCTGGGAAACCGCAAACTGTGTATTTCTGTCCATCTGAAACATTGTTGTGAATCGAATATTTTATAGAACGCTACATCTGCAGAGTATACATTTATATTAATCGAAAAATTCATAAAATAATTAAATATTTATAAATAATTCCATAATGCCAGGCAGTACTTAGTCATTTATTGAAATTTAATTTTGTGTTAACATAAAAATATACCGTTATGGCGTGGACGCAGTCTTTAATACAGTATTATTGTACAAGTAAAGCTTTGCAATTGCCTTAATTCTGTCAAAATTAACAATACCTATAAAACATCATTGGTTTAATTAAAATAAACGATTTTAATTTTACTAACTCATTAGTCTTCGAGTTGTAACACTCCACAATCCTGCAGACAGGCTTTTTCTTTTCCCCGGTCATGCCTCCAGCCACCCAAATATATTCACGGTACTTGGCACATGCAACTGCCATGCGTGCTATGATCATAGATCGGATTTCAGTCCAGGATCCTGTCTTTGGATCAAACTTCTCTACAGACCGAAGTACTCTGAAATTTTTACTGAATTTCAGCAGGGTAACAGATGTTTGTGGAATACAGCAAATATCATAACCATATCCTTAAATCTCATTATCCTCAAAATTTTTGTTTGCACTGCACTTACTTTGTGATATAAATAGGTTTGAAATTTTGTGTGTAAGAAGACAAACAAAAATATCAATGGATACAACAAACTAGTAAAGAAACAGTCAAATGACCTAAGTAATTATTTGATATTATTATAAGGGTTAAATGTACCTTCCCTTTTTATCTTGCCCTCCAATAGCGTACATGGCCATACGATGGACAACCAGGCCGAAGTTCTTTCTTGGTGTCATGAGACCATTTTCACTGTACCACGAACGAGATACTGGCTCGAAACTCCACACCGTTGAAACTACGACTGACTTCCCTCGTATATCGTCGTCCCTGGGATCAGCACCACCTGGAAAGAAAGAAGTTCCTAGATAAAAAAACTGACATGTTAGTGCCAATTCACTTCAAAAATTCTATAAGAGGTAGACTGACTAAAAGTCTAACTGGATTTGTAATAAGAAATAGCATCAGCCGAACTGTGTGCTAGTTTGCAAAACGATATAAACTGTTTTTTGCTTCCAGCTTCGTCAGTTTTCTATCATAATGCCGATGATTTATAAGTACTCGTGAGTTCTATATTTTATACCTTGAGAAATATCTAAATACTTATTCAAAGTACAGGTGCTTAAGTGGGAAGGTAGCCAGAATTATTGTTTATGAGTCTCAACATTATTTTATTTATTTCATTTTAAGAAGGCTTACAGACTAATAACAAACTTTGCTTAAGTAAAAATATCAATAAAAAGGTTGCTTATAACAAGCCTCCACATATGTACATTATATAAACCTCCACATACATTATTGCAAAGGAGAACGGCAGATCCTGTACCCCTAGAAATATATGATGGATGATTATGAAATTTGTACTGTTTATATAGTGAATCATCCTATTTTTATGTAATTATCAAATTTTTAGAACTTTGCTAAAAGTAAATAAATTAAGTCAAAGATTTCTAACAACAGCAATAACTAAACGTTCAAATGTTGTAAACAAAAAGCATTCCTACGTCTTCTAAGCTTATCATGCATAAAATGTAAATTACATAAAAAACTATATGTTTACATCGAGTAGTGTATTTAGCAGTTAAAAACAAATATTTATTTATTAATAATGTTGTCTGTACAGATTAAACGAAGTAATAAAGAAATAATTATTTTAAATCAATAAATTTAAGGAAAGGTACTTATAACGTTTATTCAAAGTGTAAACACAATGTATAAAAAGTAATTAAACTGATACGACAAGGCATCATATTATTGACAGATCAAAAAAAAACATAAACTTATGATTTTGAAAGAAATCTATATTAACTTGTTGACAGCAATGACTACTCATTTGTGACAGCCAGCTGTCATTAGTATCGACTTCAGTATAGCTTATATGATCCTGATGATGTGATGAAATAAATACAACAATAACCCCTATCATGAGATACGTAAGGCGGTACAAAAGCACATGCCTGCCATTGTCCTTTCGGCATTTCAGATGTAGCCTGATCTTAATTCCAAAACTCTTATAGGTACTGAAGCGAGGAGAATACGACTAAGATTTTAGATCAATATTTTTAACCTGGCCAGATGTCTTAGGTATGATATTATATAAATATAGAAGAATTACAGGATTATTAGTTCTAACCCACAAGATAAACGCGCCCTCTTAGGAAAGCTACTGAATGGTGATGTCTTGGCTCTGGAAGGTCTCCGACATAGTCCCAAACATTGGTTACTGGATCAAACCTGGAAGGACCAATGCATTGTAAACTATGGTAAGTTAAGCAGTAAGGTTTTATAAAAGTCATGTTCACACCGTCTAAGCGGATTCAAGATTTACGATACCAGCTGACATAAAAAAATAGAGATCTGTAGATGTCTTACACGATACATTATATTCCAACAGCTGGTTACAGAAAATTCTATTGCCGTTCATTCAATTTTTTGTCGTTGTATTTTGTACGCCAGATAGAACTCGACTGAATTAAATTTACCTATAAATGTAGTTTCCAGTGTTCCCTCCAAGCCCGTAAGTCGTATGAGGATCTATTCCACCAAAAACTAAGACAGTTTCTCTGTCCCAGTTGAACAAGGAGCCTTCTGCGTTGTAGTTCTTGTTTGATGGACCCAGTATAGAGGTAGACAGTTTGTTCCTGATGGCAAAGTTATTCAGTCTATTAGTACATTCAACATTATGAAAAAAAAAACTATACGAAAAGATTGGCTTTCCCAATATTCAAATTTGTTTGCGATATAAGTTAAAACTAAAATAAGACCACATATTCTGAAAGATGTTCTGCATAGAGCATTACGATAATGTTAGGTAATTCATTGCATTAAAGTAAACAGTCATAAATTTTGCTCACACACACCTATTCACAGGAATCTTTAACTCTATATTGTTTATTATGATACGTACTTAGGTAATTATATACATATTTGTCATAAATACCAAAGTACTTGGATGCCGAAAAAAATACAGAGCCTTGCGCGGTAATTATTTTTGGTAAATTTTCTTGAAATGAAATCTAGCTAGAGATTGATTAATCGCTCCCGAAACCCCCTGCATACTAAATTTCAGAGATTCAGATAATTGATATACAAGAATATATATATACAAGAATTGCTTGTTTAAAGGTATTAGATATTGACACCGAGCGGCAATTGAATCCACTTTATCAAGATTTTGAAGTGCAAAACATACAAAGAAAGCAACTAAAAATAAATTTTATAGAGGTTCAGAGGTTATTTTTAAGAAAAATCTACGAATACGTCGAACGTGTAAGACCAGGCGAGTAAGTGTAACACCAGGGTTGTTTTCGAAAAGTCATCAGTCTGTATTAGCTAAGTTAGTCGAATCTTGGCTACGTAAAGTTAGAAAATAATAACTTACATATTCATCTTAGCAAGTGACTCCTTGGACTGGTTAAAGAGCGATATCTCTGGACTGCAAATGTTGTTTTGTGAGAGTAGCGGATTTGGTCGTTGTATTGGCTCCGTGCGTGACATGTTCGTTGGCGTTTGTGGACGAGGACCCGAAGGACTTTGAGAGCCCCTGTAATTGTCACCTCATGAGAAAGCTAATGTATACTACCAGACATGCATGCTATTCATTACATCAGAATTTGTTTTTTTTACTGCATTTAACCCGCGCGCGCGGCTCGTCCGCGTAAATGTAGATTTTGATAAATAAAATCACTTCGATGACCGAATGAACGTTAATTTTAGCATTACCCGTGTAATCCGTTGTGTACCTCTGAGAATCAATTTCATATTGGTCTCAAATAAGCTCACATTCGCATTTATGATAATATTAGTTAATTAAGATTAACTAGTACCATGTGAAGGGTAAACCATTTTTATTAAACTATAATAACGTTTGGAATAGAAAAAGGCACACTTCTTACAGACTGTTTTGCACAAGAATAAGAATACACAAGAATAATCTGCCTGGCTTATAATCTATAGCAAAGTAGCAAACCTTCATTTCCTACCACAAATATTTTCGCATATTATGATAAAATCATAGCATAGAAGAGTGAAAGTAGAATTTAAACACCTGCCTTCTGGATCCAGATAGGGCTGCAGTAGCAGCTGCCAAATACGTAGCTGCAACGCTATGTCTCTTCTCTGATCTTCTTATAGAAAACTGGTTCTGTGAAAATAGTTTTAGTTGCAAAATCTCCCCATTATATTATTAAGTGTGTATGTGTGTGTCAACTTGTCAGTTTTGTACGAACCTTTTCAGTAATGCTTGTCTCAATAGTGTCATTGCTGGTTTCACTCATCGTCGAGTTCAGGTCCTCAGCAGAGTCCTTTTCGGGAGGATCGTACATTTGTTCATGTTTTTGTGACCCCTGTTAATATTTTACGTGTTATTATTTCAATAAAATATTGCTATACTAAATAAAAAAGGATCAAAATATTAATATTTTTGTATAGAGCTGGTATTCATAATTATAGATATTCAAAAGTGCAAGTTAATAAAATTTATTCATAAATTCACATCCCTAAAAAACCTAAAGCATATGTACTTGATTTTACAATGCAGTTTAAATATATTCTGGAGTTGGTCGAAAATTATTAAAGTGATTAAGAAATTATGTTTACATAAAGCGATACGTCCGTAAACTATGCCATTACTAATGGAATACAGAAACTATTTAAAAATGGCAATTATTGATTAATTTATGCATCTCTGCAAGAAAAAAAAAAAGAAAAACATTACGCTGTCTTGTTCCACGGAGCACATGTGGATCTGTTGTATTTGCTTCCGACGTGTTTGTTGAGCCATTTGCATTTGTTGCGTTTGATGTTCTAGTAGCTTTCTATGCTCCTTCAATTAAGAAAGAAATTAAAATAAAAGTATTCATTGAAAGATGTGAGAGACAGCACATTTCTGCTCTCTCTCTCTCTCTATTATGGATATTCGACTACAAACTACATCCTTTTGTTGGGTTCACTAAACCACGAGGCAAAATATATAAATATAAATTTTATAAAATAGTATCCTCAGTTACCAGTTGGATTGAAAAAAAAATTTTTCAGGAGAACAAATTCTCATCCTTTCGGTTTGCAGATCTACTAGTTCTAATTATGCAATTCAAGAAAAAACAAATTTATTAAAAAAAAAAATAGCCATAGATATAGGTGTTATGTGTTTTTCTTTTTTATTAATTTATATAGATGATTAGTTTTGACAATTTTAAACAAACTCGATTAGACTTTGAAACCGATTTACGAGACATACATACATATTTATGGTTGCTTTAATCACATAGTTTAGATAGGTAAAATGTTTCCATAAAAAAACAAAGTTCCATACCAAATTTCATTTAAATCAGGTCAGTTATTATTGATTCCCCATACAAATTTTTATATCCGTTTTCACCTCCGTAAATGATGATTTCTGGGATAAAAACTATCCTATGTCCTTTCTAGGGAATCAAACTATCTTTTCACCAAATGTCATCTAAATCGCTTTAGCAGTTTAAGCGTGAAGAGGGGAAACAGACAGACACACTTTCGCATTTATAATATTAGTATTGGTAATAAAATAAAGCTAACCTCTAAATGCTCTTGATGTTTGCAAGAGGTTTCTGGACTTCGTCTACATTTAGATAGTATGGGAGCCTGGACCGCTATGTCCATATCTATTGATGGTGGGGATCTGTTTGACGGTGATATCGACTGATTACCGCCACCTTCCTGTGCCTGAAAACAAAATAACATGGTACACATTTGATTGAAAAGAAGTCCAATCTTATACATTTTTTTTTTAAAAAGTCAAAGAAATAAATTAAACTGTATGTCCTTTCGTTTCATAGTGTAATTATGTAATTGTGGTGTACTTAACAGGAGACTATATACAAATAAGATTAATTTATACACAAACCTTTCGCTTGTGTTCGAAAAATTCACTCATAGTTGGGAAGGATTTATCTTTGTCTCCAGAAAGTCCCTTCAGTGTGGCGGGCAGTGGAAAATCCATTTTAGGTCTTCGCATTTCCATTTTGTCATTATCCATACCTCGCATATTACCTGATATTACACGAACACTATTATTTGGCGTACATTAATTTGCTTATGTAAATGTTGTAGGAGTTGAATTAAGTATTAGAATCTAAAGATATAATTAGATTTGTCGAACGGTGCAGTTCGGCACTCCACGGCGAAGAGTGTAAGTGAAGAAAAACATTTTTTAATGGAAAGGTCAGACAATGTAAAGATTATTAGGATAATAATTACAAATATGTATGCACATTTGATCTGCTCCTGCTATTACTTATTGCTATGCTCCTTAAACTACTTGATAATAAAAATAATAACTATAATATTTCACTTGATATCTTCCCGTTACCTTCTTTACTTAATTACCTTTCCTTCATTACTTCTAAAATTCCTGGTTGAAGGCGTTCTCCCTATTGTGTAAGTGGGACCAAATACTATTAGGCAAACGTGATTTCTGCCTACCTTGTCTGGGATATAGGCATGAGGATGTATATATTAATAGGATTCATATGTTATTATTGTTATTAGGACTCGTACGTAGGGTGCTCGTACTTTCCGTTTTGTAGACTAAATGAGCTTTCTGGGAAATGGATTCCTTATTATTATCCGCGATTTTACCGGGTAAGTCATCGTTCCGTCGAGGTGGTTGCATCATGGCCATCTGTTGGTACATCTGGTCTTTTGGGACCATGAACTGTTCCAAGTATTTCAAAAAATCCTTGTAAGTGACGTGGTTCTGTAAAAAATATTTCTATTTAGAGTTTTTTAATCGTGAGATGTGTTAAACTACTACGACTATGATTCCATTCAATTGTTAAACAAACATAAATCTTGATAGTGTTTACGTCACAAATTTTTTAAGTTTACCTTTTCTTCACCAATCCAGTTTCTATCAGCCGGCTCAGTGAGACCAAGAACATCGATCCAATGATAATAATTCTTCGAATTGTTTCCATACCAATATTTTATAATTACATACCTAAAAAGTATTTCACGAGTCATTAGCTCCAAATCTAAATACCAGGATATCTTATTTTACACAAACGCGGACTCATTGCGACTTAGAAGAAAAACTATAGGAGTTTGTCCGCGTCTATTCCTTAGTAAACAAGGGCCAAACCGTTATAAATACCGTAATGGACGATAAACTCTTAGCAGTATACAAATAGTCGGAAAATATAGGTAATAGTGTAAGTAATTAAGGAAAAATCGACCAGGCACAGTAAAGGTCCCGGAAGGGGTTGGGGTGGTAATATATACGTGTTTAACTAGTTATATTGCATCTAAAGTATGCATCCTAAAAAAAAATTGAATGTAAAAGTGATAGATAATAAAAAGTAAGACTTTCTTATCGGACATTTATCTAAATTACTTGTATAACATAGTATTGGATGAGAATTACCGCTTAGTTACAATAAAAAAATAAGTTCATTTTCTACGAGTACAACTTTTACATTGATTTTTTTTCAATAGGATGCATAGTAAAAAGCGAGTAACCCCCCTGAACACGTATATACACTACCACCCCCTATCGGGACTTTTACTCAGTCTACTTGCCGACTATTTCTATACTGCGAAGATTTTTTTTTGCTTTACATATTATGATTGTCATTGGTCTATTGGGGATTAAGATGTGTGTTTATGAACGTATAAGAATTATAAATACTAAGAATAAAAATGAATTAGGATAAAAATCTGTTTGTGTTTTTAGTAGTTTCTGAGAAATTGATTAATGTGTTCATATTTTTAAGTAGAATGAGGGAGCGTGTCGAACGTATGCGAAACCCATACTGGCCTAATTTTAAATGTATGACAGTCTGGGAATATGGTATTCCCAGATTTTTTCATACATTCAAAATAAAAATAAAATATGAAAAAGTCTGGGAATACCATACTTACGCAAGTCCGTCATCAACCATCTGCTGCACTTCCGGCTCATTTACAATCTCTAGGATCTCGGCATTGTCGGGATTGCGTTTTATATCTACAAGCTGCCACGGCGAGATTAGCCCGAAGCGGACGCACCGCATGACGTCAACCGCAAACCTTCGTCGTGTCATCCAGTCTCCGTATAACCATCGGACTCCCGCCATTAGCACTTCTATCTCACTACAAGCAAAGCAAAATCAACCATTTTAATATCTCAATTCTTTGTTGAAAATCATTAACTGATACAATATGGTAGGGGCCCAAGTGACCAATAAAATACTTTTGCCTTTTATTAATAATAATAATAACTGAACACATTTCTGAACTGAACTAGGCAGAGCCTGTGCTATGGTAACCAGACTGCTGAGATATTTCTAAATATATCACATATTATAAATAAATTACACCCAGGCACAGAACAAATGATCGTGCTTGTGATATCAATGTTTATCCTGGGTGGGAATTGAACCCACGACCTCCGGTTAACAGTCAGGGTCACTAACCATTAGACCAACATACCCATCGTTGTGAGTAGGTTAGGACTATATTACCTTAATAAAAATAAGATGTTGCAATGTTTAAGCTAAAAAGCTGAGTGTAGTGGGTTTGATCCGCACATGGAACAACACTTTGTGTGATCTACAAATTGATGTTCTGTGTCTAGGTGTTCGTTGTATCCGTTTCATGCATGTTTGTAAAGTCACCCGCGGCACAGGATTGTAGGTTTAATCAAATAACTAAGTAACTACGTATATTTCATTGTTATAAAAAGGACGTAGTGTTGGTAAAGATAATAAAGAACTTTGAATACCTTGTTACAGAAATATAGTTTGATTTCAAAAATGTCATTAATTCTTCTGGTTCTAGGCCGATAAAATCTCTGGAAGCTACCAGAGGTAGAAAAAATCTCATCACACGAGGAACCTAGATTAAGAAAATATTATTAAAACGGGCTATTACAAGTATTTCATATAAAGTAAAAGCAAGTTATTTACCATCAAATCCATAACGGGGGTCATGCACTTTTTCCTCGCCTCTCTAAATAGGGCAAAAGCTGTATCTTCGGTAAACAAATTTTCATTCACGATAAACGACCAACACTGGTCTTCAAGATCTGTGTATCAAATTTCGAGTATAATATCAATTAGTGTAAATCGTTCAATCGACGTTATCTTATGTTGGACTTAAAAGGATTCAAATCAATTTTGATCATAAATTGGTTGTACTTACTAAAACAAAAATCGTATTATATTTCTATTCTAGCTTGAAATGACTATGAAAAATAGGATACCACAAGAGATTAGGATGTGTGTGAATTTAAGTTACCTCCGTGGAGACACTTTAGAAGATAATGGGTTTTTACAAATCAGTAAGTTCATTCAAGATTGTTTGCCCTACTATAATATAATTTACTCTTATGACCAAGTCCTTAAGTCTTAATTTGAGACCTTGGACGGATTGGATATTCTTAAAGTACTATGCCCGCGTGTATGTCGGTTGTCGCAATAAAAAATAGCCATGTCCTTCAGTAAAAACGGTTTAGAGGTAAAAGCGTAATTGACACACTAACTGTGTGTGTCAATTACGCATACTTTAGCATTTATAATATTAGTAGGGATTATATGAAGTAGTATATGCGAGCTAGATAAATACATTTTACCAATTATGTAATAAGATTAAATATCGCACCTTTAACAGCTAAAAACTGTGCAGCACAAAATAAATCTAAGATATTGTCTCTCTTCAAGAGTTTGTTACTTTCTACACCGTTGAAGATCATCCATTCGTAAATAATTTGGAAAGCTTCTGGTGTAACATTAGTCTGTGTGTTAGAATACATAAATTAATGCTAATAGTGTGTAATGAGAGTATTTATGTATATGCTTATTTTCTATCCCAGAGAAAAATAAACCTCAAAAAAATATGTAATTAAGCTGGATGTAGAAACAGAAATTTGTTTTGAGTTTAGTTTTATTTCTAAACAGATTTTTTATTTAGTGTCGGTCTATAAAAATAGTATTTTACCGAATCGAAAAATTCATTGTTATTGTTATTTTCGTTTATTTCGAACACAAATAGCTTTTTTTTTGTGTTAAACGGTTTTATTAATATTCTAGCATATTCAAGAGTATCTTATGTTTCATGCACACAAGCTTGTAATCTTAAATTAGACTTAGTTAGAATCTAAACTATTAGAGTACGTTCGTGTTCCTTGATATTTAACTCATCATCGTCATCATCATCAACAGCCTATAACAGTCCACTGCTGGACATAGGCCTCTCCTTAGAAAGGAGGTTTGGCCTACTATACCACGCTGGCCAGACGGGTTGATATAGGATTTCTTTCAAGTTTTCCTTCTCTTCGCAGTGCTGTTGTCCTGCGTAGTTTTCTCCCTTAGTCGGCTCTTACGACACCCACGGGATAAATAGGGGTGGTGACATTCCGTGTTCTTAATCCGATATTTTAACTGATATTTAACTACTCTTTCCCATTTCTCTCTATTTCCTGAGCAGGGATTGCAATGCAATATTATTATTGTTATGTTAATATTACTTACTATGGGCAGTTCTATTTCTCTATGTGGATTCATGTCAAAAAAGGAGGAGTAAACTTGTAATACAATGAAATGACAGTGAAATTCCTCATCGCCAATGCGTACAACAGTATCAGTGTTTCTGCAAGATATGTGTTTGGTAAATATAATAATACGGTATATAGAAATTACGTTCTTAATATATAACTCGGCTGCAAGAATGATATTAGAAACTTATTGGCAATTAATACTGGTAACAGACTTTTCGGGTTTTAGAATGAAAAGTCCATTTGCAATTAAATATTTTGCATTCTTGTACGCAATAAGTTAACTTTAATACTCGATTAACATATTTACATATAGTTGTGTATCCTGCGGTAAAATTCTTGAAATAAATCCTGTTTCTTGGGTAGTTGAACCCGCATCCAGTCTATAGGCTCCGCGACAGCGTACCCAAGGCTCGCTAAATCTTTGCCCCTATCATCACTGTGGTTTGGTGATTTTGGTTTCGCATTTCGATCATTAGGTGCCTTCCCTGTGAAATTTGAGTTCTGAATGTCCCTAGGTCCATATTGTAGCTGCGGTTCTGAGTCAACTTCATTATCCTGATTAACAAAGAAAGAAATACTATTGTATCTACGTGCATGATTAAAAAGCGCAAGGTTTTTGTTTAGTAGCACACTAACATAGCTGTTGGAAGCATCGTCATCAGGCTCTCCCGCCGCTTTACCTTCGAATTTTACTTTAACCTTAGCTTGAGTGGGATCTGCTAGGAGTACGCCAACTGTGGATGATTGAAACACTACCTGCAAACACACAAATAGCTGTCTAAGACGTTTGATAAAAATGTCTTTATAATATGCAGTCCGTGTGGTGACGGATTAAGAATACAGAGTGTCACCACCCCTATTCATCCCGTGGGTATCGTAAGAGCCGACTAAGGGAGAAAACTACGCAGAACAACAGCACTGCAGAGAGAAGGAAAACTCGACACAAGCCCTATACCAAATCGTCTTGCCAGCTCGGTATAGTAGGCCAAAACCTCCTTTCTAAGGAGAGGCCTATGTCCAGCAGCGGACTATTAAAGGTTGTTGATGTGATGTGATGTGAATTTGCATTGCTTATTTGATTACTGTCTGAATATCCATTTTTATAACTATTATAAAAATATTTTTTCTATATTAATCTAACTTTTAGATTCGTTTTTCTTAGGTCTCCTGCTGAGCGGTGTGTAAGTTCAATCCAATATTTTTAAGCTTATTAACAGTAAGACCAGTTTAATAATAATATTATTCTTGATTACCGATACCAATAAGAATATCTAAAGTTAACTTCGTCGCCTTCTATTTTTTAGGTTTTATTTCAAGAGAAGAATTTGCTCGTGGCACCTAGAGCAAATTAATGAAAGGGTTCGAGCTAGCTATGTAGTGATTAGTGTTACATTTACTTACTTGATTTGACTGAACCTTTAGATTACCACTAGGGGTTGATTTAAAAGGGAAAGTAGCACCTTTTTGAACACCAAATTGATCTGTACTGTCAGTACTGAAAAAATAAAAGCTTTTAAAACCACTGAACATTTCTTTATTGAAAATGTATTGGAGGAATATTACTCCGAAATTAAATTATAAGTTAACATGCATTTTTAAATCATCAGAATCATAGAGTCACAATAGAAGTATGGTTAGTATGACTTAGTGAAACAGTTTTATGAAGTCGCGTTTGTAACTACTGAGTTGCAGACGTTCATCGGCAGCGATGGTCACTTTCCATCAGGTGTCCCGTCTACTCGTCTGCCCCCTTTAACATAAAAAAAGTAATGCATTTAAAAATTCACTATTTTCATTTCGTAATTCACACTTCGAAGTCATATTTGCTTAATATTGAAGCTTGTTTTGTTTATTTTCGTTATCTCCTTCCGATAGATTGTGATGTGTACGTGTGTATGGAGGAAAAAGTAATGCAAGGTCTGGTGGTGACATCTGCAACCAGCTTTGGTCAATCGGTCGTCCCCACTGCTCCTTCACGACAACACGCGAACCCATACTGCGCAACAGACAGTCTCCAAGCTGCAAGAGCTGGGCTTGGAAGCTCTCCCTCATCCACCATACTCACCAGACCTTGCACCTACCGACTATTACTTTTTCCAAAATTTAGACAACTTTTTAGTGGGTAAAAAATTCAATTCCCGAGAGGCAGTACAAAATGCCTTTGAAGAGTTTGTTGCCTCCCGTCCAGCTGATTTTTACAAGAAGGGCATCAATAAACTGCCAATGCGTTGGCAACGATGCGTCGATTGCATGGGTGATTACTTCGAATAACAGAAATAAAAAAGTTTGAAAAAATAAGTACTTTCACTTATTGCATACAAAACGGCAATTTCATAGGTAAAGACTTAATACTATTCTTGATTATCAACACAGAAAATCTAATGCTAAATTTGGCGCCTTTCTCAGCTTATTTTTTACGAGATCGAACCCTTGGATTAATTACCTGGAATTGTCTGCACATGACGAGGGATTTAAATCAGTCTCATCTCTGTCTCTCTGGAAATTACTTAGGTACTCTGTGGCAAACTTTGAGGCGTAACTCTCTGGAGACATATCTAACTTCTTCCTAGGCTTTCTGATGATAAAGAAATACTAATAAAAACATTAGTTTTAACGGTATATTACTAACTAGAAAAAAATCCCTAGCAACGTCAAACGTCAAACACTGTATTCGCAGATCTAGACTACTTGTTAACAAACTTAAAAAAACTGAGGTTTTTTATTTTTATTTTGTTATGTACCTCAAATAACCGTTTTTATGCTATTTTTAATTCATTTAACGCATTTAAAGCCACGCTAGCCACAGCACATTACACACAACGTCTCCTCTAAAGCAAAATTTGTTTAGTTAATATTGAAATCATTATTATATTGAACAATCGTCTACACTAACTACACTAAACATATCTACTTTTCTTATATACGCTTACTTCTCGGGCTTTATGAGACTATAGATTTTAAATCGCAAAAATAATAATATGGAGGCCGTTAGGAAAAGGTTTGTATTTTAGAACGGCTTACACTGGAAGCTAGAATGTGTAGCAGAGTTTGAGTAGAATATTATTTACAAGGTAAGGCCGTTGATATAAAATACTCACTTCCCTTTGAAGTTCCACGACATTAATGTGTCAATATCTTGTCGGTAATACGTCGGTCCAGCGTCGCCAGCACTATTGTAATATGACTGTTTCAGTTTCGTGTGTGCTAAATATTTCTGTTTGTAATAGACTAAATCTGCAACGGTATATTAGTAGACCAATTTAAGATTTAATGTAAACGACTCTTGTTAATCAACGTATTTAATTTAGATATCTATTGTTACTTTTGATGTGACACATCTAATGCGAAGGGGGTCAGGCAAGCTGTTGACGTGGCGACGCGTCGCCATTCGCAAGTGATTTTGCTTTACTACAAAATAGTTTTGATGTTTCACATCTGCCAGACCTCCTACGACGGTTAATTTTCTTTTAATGTAATTCATAGGACGTTAATATTCTGACTTACTGTACAATTTACGGGTTTTCAAACCATTCTACGAACTCAAAAATTAAAATAAACTTATAGAAAGGAATACTAACGAATGAGTCACTCACTGAAATCACTTGAATACTCTGTTAGGTCGGATAAAGAACTGCTCCTGTATAATTTCGGCTTAATAGTTATACAATAGTGTTCGAATATACTTCCCGCCGGTCGAAGTCGTCTTTTTTGAGGTAAGACAATTCTACAAAAACATTAGATATATTGCTTTCTTTTAAATTATCAATCAAATTAAAAACATTAGATATAAAAGACTAGTTCCCTGCCCGGTTTCGTATGGAAAGTAGAGCATATTAAGCCTACATATTTTTTGTGCCAGGGTCGTATTAGCTTGTTTTTTTAGGGGTAAACGAGCAGGCGGGTCACTGATGGTAAGTGACTACCATCACTAATGGACACCTACAGCTTAAGAGTCACAAGTGCATTTCCCACTTTTAAGTCCACCCCCTCAACGCAATGAAAGAATTGCTTAACATTGATTTTCTGTAAGGCCCTGGTATTACGCCAGCGCACTATGGAAAACGGTAGAACAACTGCATATCAAAAATCGTTTTTACTAATATAGTTATTGACGCACTTTTTAAAAGTTTATTGAATAGTATAAGAATAGAACTTTAATATAATGTAGTGATTTGCTTTGATTTACATTTAGAATATATTTTTTTAATACCACAAACTGTAATTCTTAAGAATGTCTATTTCAGGTTTGTTAAATTTAATTTAATTTTAAATTTAATTTATAATTTAAAATTAATGTATTTAAAAAATTTGTTCAAATAGTTATAAAGTGTTATACATTTCTAAAAAGCCCTTTGTATGTAAATTTTAAAGTAATTATAATATTTTAGGTTTTATTATTATATTTCTATGAAAAAACAAGAAGTGAGGGGACACAGGTCAATTTTCTAAATTCATCGAGGCTTTTGACAGTTACCGACAACTCCCGACACTTTATATTTGATGTTGTTTTGTAGCGTAGATATTCATAAATATCAATTATAAAAATCAGTTTCGGATACATGAGTTCCGAAGTTATCAAGAAAAGTATGGTACAAGTCAGAAAACAGAAAACCACTGTCTATTCTAGCTCGATCTATCTATTGTGGATTCTATTGTCTAACTATTTAATTGATTATAATAATAATAATAGGGTGTTTTATCTACATTTTGCACTCAGTTTGCGGGCAACTTTAATAAACAAAATGCACACCACCCTCATTTATCAAATAATATATAAATAGTGGCTTCCTTAAATATCGCTATTACAAATTCGTAATAAACTAAACAGACGTTTGACTGTTTCGTATCTTCGCTGTTTCAGAACTGTTTCGGAAATTATGCTACAGAAACTGCTAGAATCGATGTGAGAAATTATGAATGGTACTACATGCCATCTTCAGTTCACAAAATTCTAATTCATGATGAAAGTATCAGTAAGCACTTTGCTGTGCTTCCTATTGGTCAACTTTCAGAAGATGCGCAAGAATGTCGTAATAAGGATTATAAAAAATTTCGCCTCCATATCATGCCAGGAAGTGCTCTCGATCAGCTACAAATGAAGATGTATTTTAAACTGTTCTCTAAACATCAGATCCATACATTTCCAGCCTTAGAAAAACCTATAACAAGTGTGATTGATGAAGATACCCTTTTAAAAGTGAACGAACATATTTTGGATCCTGAATTTAACCAAGTATAATTTCTTTCTTATCGTTTCTTTAAAAAAGACAACGCCCGCATTAGGAATAAATCCTGTGTCGCGGGGGACTTTACAAACATACATGAAACGGACACAAAGAACACCCAGACTCAGAACAACAATTTGTGGATCACACAAAGTGTCGTCCCATGTGGGGTTTGAACCCACAACACTCGACGTAGTAGGAAGCGGCGTGGCGACCGCTTAAACCACTACGCCATCCGTGCAGTCATTGAGCGTAATGTTGTTATTATACATATTTTAGTATATTTTACTTACAAATGAGTATTTTGTAACTTTGAATATTTTATGAAATAACTTTTCATTACTTATTTAAATTGGTAAGTTGCTTTATTATTATAGTTTTATAATAAAATAATATAATAATAACTTTTTATTCAAAACATAAATAGTGTTGACCCCATGAAAATAAATTAAGGTCATTTCTTAAAACTTTTTGTTTGTATCACTTTTTAAATATTTAATATTCTAAAATAAATATAGCCCTTATATATTACTCTATGCTTGTGCAAAAATTCAGTTCAATGGAATCTGAACCATTCTTTATTGAGATTTGGTTCAACACAGTGATTTTCAAAAATGGGTAATAAGTAATAAGATATCGCATGAAGGTACCAAATCAGAGAACGAGCAGCTAGAACACAAAGGCTTTTTCTCAGACTTGTTTTTTGCTTGCTTTAATAAAATATGACTTATATCGAGAACGCTTAAATTATTAAATCTTGTTGTTTTTTTTTCACTGGAGCAAACAAACAAAACAAAAACGTATTGATATGAGAAAGTCTGATAAAGGACGACTACGGCTTAAAGGATGCTTTAGAGGTTATGCGTGATGACAACTTACTCGGGCGAGTTGTTGAGTGCACTGTTTCTTGCATTTGACACCACTTCTGTAACATTTATCTGTTGAAAGAAACCAGAATGACAAACAGAGGACGAGACATTTGAATGGCCAAACCAAACTTTGCAGTTTACGTATGTCAAATACTTACTTTATCCAAACTAATACTTCTTTGCATTTCAAAATCACTAAACTAGTAACGCAGGAACATGAACCATATTGTATATAGTAATGTTTTTAAGTTTATTAATAAATTCCCAGGACTCCTTTCAAATTTTTGACAGTTGATGTTCAAGTCGTTTTACAAAAATCGTCGTGGTTAAAAAAATTCCAAATATTGACATGACAACGTGATGGTCCAAAAAGGTTTTAATAGTCTGTATTTGACAGAAAACGTTTTGGTCTTGAGTGCAGTGATATGAGTTTGGATAAATATATTTCGTTGTTTATAAAGAAAACGGCTTATTAACAAGTTAAAAAAACTTTAAAGGCTTTTTTCAAGGTTGTTAAGATACAATCGTAGTTATACATGTTTTATGAGCAGCCTCAAAGGAAGTTATGGATTTCCGACACCACTCTACATCGAGAGGGTCCTAAAAATCAACACACACGATATTAATTACCGAACCGAGCTGTGGATCCAAAGGGTATCTGCGTCAGTACTTGGTGATGAAAATTGGTGAACATGTAACAAAAGATGAAAGAATACCTCAGTTGTGCAAATGTAGCGGGACCCATCATGGAGATTTAGGTAGAGAGTGGAAAGCCTGCCGGCTGGTTTGTCTCCTAGTTTGTGCGAGTACTTATTTGACTCGACATTTAGGGACGTTCATATAAACTACAGTTCACACTCTAATGGAGTAAGCACCACACACCACAAAAGATGGAGTAAATAGAACTGAATGGTAGTCTTGTAACGTATCCATCGATAAACAAACGCTGTAGCAACGCAGAGAGCAATAAAGACCGTCTGTCAAAATGAGCAGGAAGGAAACTTCAACGTTTGTTCCATAGAGAACGCCTGCAGTTGTGGGAAATCTATGCTTCAGCACTTATGGGCCGGCTGAAGTGATACCATGGCCTCACAGAAAACTGGTATTAAGAAGCAAAAACTTGGCTCCTCCTCCCATTCTGAGGGAGAGAATGCTTAAATGCTGCATGGGTATTGACGGCCTTCACCTACCCTCTGTTGACTCATTTGTTCGTTTGTCGGCTATATTAAAAAAAAGTAGGTGTAACTACAAAGACATAAGCAAACAATTTGTAAAAGTATTTAATGTACAAATGTACGATATAAATAATGTGAGTCTTAGAACATACTTTTGAGGGCAGTTTGTTTAGTAGTTGTTAGATAATATATATATATATAATGAATACGAAAATAAAGTCAAATCTATTATACGCCCCCATCGCTTACTAGACAAATAAATCACTGATTTATTTGTCTCGTAAATTGTTTCTTATTCCGTAGTTGCATTAATACCAAAATCTTATTCGAAGAAACAATTTTTACAACGACTCTTCTAGTCGACCTGTACAACAACTCTGTGTCGCTGCTACTAGTACTAACAATGGTACAGATATACAAATACATTAAAATTATTTATTAGTACATTGACATTGATTTTTATTATTTAAGACAGCCACGATGCATGCAGAAGGTTTACTTGAAGCGTAGAGTTGATTTAAAAATTTCCACTATCATTTAACCGTCGTAGTCACTGATTAGAGGATCTTTTCATTATGAATTTACTCTCAAAAGGATGCTTAAAAGTAAAATAGTTAGTCTTAGTGAAAGTATAGTCACACTTCAAAACTCAAGCCTTTACCACCGAAAGTGTAGGAAAAGGTGTGTCAAGTGACTTATATTTTTCGAATTGTAATTTGATTCCACTAATTAACTATTTAAAAATAGAAAAAATAACGTATTTTTTTATTTTATCTTGTTGACACAGTCGTGATAAGAAACAGGAGTTACAATAATGAGTGTACATTACTCATGGTCAGCTCATCTCAATATGAAATAGCTACCATACTTTTAAATTCATGATAAAATATCTTCAGAACCAATTCTGTCAATATCAACATGAGATTTAAATTACTGTGTCTTATCTTTTTAGTGGTTATAGCTGTAAGTATACATTAGTATTATTTTCTTTTCTAAAACGAAGTAATAACAGGCTATTGACTGTTAATACTTACAAAATAGTCTGTTTTAAAACGGTAAAAAAATCGCAAAAATGGTAAGAAATTTCTTGAAAATTGTATTGAGATTTCAATATGTTTTAATAGTTTTATTCCTTGAATTGGGACAGTTCATAAATAAGAATCGATGTAGATCTACCGAGCGGTTTGTTACCTGGTGGATACAAACACAAATAATTAAGCATAAAACTAGTTCAGGTTGCATTGTTAAACTCTACCTCCAGGAGGTGAACATCACACTAATATGATTTTTCCCTTGGAGATGCACAGAACTTCTTTCGCTAAGAGACAAAACCATGTCAATAGTATAATGTTATATAACTACCTAAATAAAGTTCTTGGTATATATTCAAAAAATAAATACCAATGTAAAAATATACTCAAAGAATTTCTACTTAAATTAGATTATCGTAACACTGAGGATCTTCTGCTGGGACGCTTGAAATAGTAAATCATACACTTACACACATGATCACACTTACATATACACGCACATACACTCATGCGCGTACACATCCACACCTCACACATACATAAACTCGAACACACATTAGTACACACACATCAACTAACCCTTTTCCTTACTATTTTCTTAAATGTTATTGTTCTTTTTTGTTTTTTGATCTCAACATATGTATATGGCTTTGTATTTTATCAAAAACAACAGGGGCACTGATTTCTAAAATACAGGTACTAAACCTAGTTTAGAGATCAGCGTTTACTAACAGTAGTACATAATTTATATGAACCTCATTTCTGTTTTATAATATTTAACTTTATTGAGTAATAAAAACATTATTATTATTATTATTATATTATAAAGGCGAAAGTTTGTTAGTGTGCGTGTTTGTATGATTGTTACTTCTTCACATTTTTAATTTTGATAAAATTAAACAGTTCTTAACACGTGGTCGCACACAAGGAGACAATTTATGAAACACGTGGTTGCACACAATTGGTAATACACAAGGAGATCGTGCGGTACCCCCTTATGACCCTGATGGCCAGCACTCGCTGCGGTCGTCGCAGTAGTGCGACGTTGCTGGCCTTCAGGGTCTCCGCCCATACTAGGGCCCCATAAAGGGCCATGGACAACACAACCCCCAAGTAGAGTCTCCTGCAGGAGTCATCGGGTCCCCTCATGTTAGGCAGCGCTGCTCCAAGCAACTTGGGGACCAGACCTCGGAAATGGTGTCCGAAGTCCGAAGTACGAGCCCCAGATACCTCATCGAGGGCTCGATGCCGATGCGAGTGCCTCCTACTATAAGGCTTTAAGCCGTAGCACCGCCCTTAGTTCTGCCCAAGTGACCTCAGGCACTTCGTCGCCATCCACGTTAGGCGCCTCGAGCGCCGGAGGCGGAGCCATCTGTGGTGGGGTGTATGCCAACACTTGAGATGGGAACAGGGAGCCTACAACCCCTTCAAGCAGTTCTGGCTGAAGACACCGGGTCAGCGGCGGAGCCCCTGGGCGCATCTTGCCCCTAACCATACTATAGGGGCGTCCCCACGGATCCCGCTTAGAGGAGCTCCCGATCTAAGCGTTTGAGTTCCCAACGTGGTTCAGGTAGAGCCGGTCTGATTGGCGCGCGACTTGCAGGAGCGGAGACGTCTTCTGTACCACCTAACAGCTCAGTCCTTAAACTCCAAAAAGAAGGCTGGGATGACTTAATTGGAAGTTGAGGTTATCATAGGTATTTATTTCGGTAACGAATATAATGTTAGAGGAATTAACAAAAAACACCCTAGTATTTATTTACATTCGGATTGTATATTTTTGGTAAAGAAGCATGAACGATAAAATAACATTGAGTTGATTGCCTTCCAAAGACAGAGTTTTAGGTAAATTTATACCAATAGATTGATTTCTTTTCGATTCGTGATATTTATGAAATGAGACTTAATGTGTAGGACTTATGGTGTTATCAGTAAAAAGTGGAATTTTTAATCTACAATATCAACAAGCAATGAATTTTTACCTGACTGCTATCTTGTGAAGACGTGATTTTTTTAAAGGGTTTTACTTATATTTTGATTCTGTTTGACAGTAATTCTTTACTAATAGGCAGTACTGCCTGCATATTTCTGATCAAAACATTACATTCAGTCATTTCTTTAACCTTCGACAAAAATTAACAAATAAAATGCTAAAAATCCGTGTTGTTGTACCTTTCTTTTAAGTGGCCAGCTGTGAATACATGGAGTACGTGTGTTCTTTTTTTTGGAGTACAAAAATAACCTAGTATAGTCAATCTAACTTAACAACCTAACAAAAGTGAAAGACGCTATGTATATACACAGTAACATCCATGCTGCAAATCCAAAAGTAAGATCTAAAAATGTCCTACTCTTTTTCTTCCTCTTTACGGAGTAGAAAACAAAGTTGCTTCACGCGTCTGTCTCTATTTTCAATCTAGGAAGGATGATAATTGATTAACGTAATAATATTCAATGGGCGGCCATGTCGCTGTTCTGTTCTGTAATCTAAGTAATTAATACATGTTTATGTTTTGTTGTATATATGTAACGGCATCTTCAAAACCTCAAAAATGTTTATCTGGTACACAGGAGCATATTCTTCAATATTACTTGATTCTTGTATCCCGATACTAATACGACTGCTATCATCAGATATTAAATACAGCGGAATTCCAAATACGTCATACCGTAATGGTACATCCGTTTAGTTGTAACTGAGTAGATCCGTCCTTCACAAAAAACGATCTGAATCAATACTGTTATCATATACTCAGACGAGGAGGCACTCAAACCAGATATATTATGTATTTATTCATTTTTTTATAAAATGCACTAGCCCTAATTGCAATCACTTTATCACATTCACCAAACTATTAGAGCCGAGACGTTGTCAGTTTCACTTCACCAAATAGTTACTTAGATTAGATATGGCTATACCAATAAACTGTTTAAGTATTTCATCTATATTTTTGAAGAGTTCCGTCAATATCTGCAGAATACCTTCAGATTCAGAATTCATATTGGGATACGAGTATTATTAACTAAACAATATACCCTTTCAAATAAAAATATTGTTGTTTGAAAGCAGGTAAGCTATTTTGTATCATTGGATAGCATACAATTAATTCAAAATCGCATCGATTCCAGAACCTTAATCTTTTTAGACTTATTGTAAGGACAAGGAAAATAAGAAAGTTAAAAATAATGTATCCCGTAACGCGTTATATTTGCATACATATTACATATGTACACTTAGCAAATACCATAAAATACTAAAGTATTTCCTTGTAAAATGAATTCCACTAAATATACTCGTACAATCTAAAGTACACACAAGTATTGACGCATTGAGACTGGTGAGTAGCGCCGCCCATTTATTTACAATAACAAGATAATCACCTGGTGTTTGAATTTAGACCATAGTTTATTTTTGGTTTATTTCAGTCAATGATGAATTGAAATGACATTTTAGAGATTTACGCATTATGACATGTTCAAAAGTGTCCGGTGTGTACTAGACGCTTTTGAGCTTGATGTAGTCTTTTTCTACGTAATTTTCGGAACAAAATAGTAACCCATATTGTTCTTAGTGTTCTGTGTGTATTCTATACATAAATTTTAATTAGATACTTGGTACTAAAAATGTGTAATTCCAAGAATTTGGCAACAGTTTGTTTGTTTGTAAATCTATATATATTAAAATGTTAACGTGGATGGTGTACACTTTTAAAACAAGTTCTTCACAAATTGTGTTTAAATTTTGACACGATTTACAACACGCTTTAAAAATAGTTTTCATCGATTTATTGCAACCATAATGGGCGACAACGAAGCGTGGCAGGTAACAGTTTTTTTTTGTTTACGTGTTGGAAGATCCTCATGGATGTCCTTCGCCATATGAGAGAGGGTGCAGGAGCCCGGCGGACTTTTACCGACTAAAAACCACCCCAGTGTTCCTCTCCTTACCAATGGCCGGGGGAGCGAGAGTCACAATTGCATTCCTCTGCCACCCCCGACAGGCATTGAGTTATAAATATGACTAAAGCCACTGAGTTTCTTCAAATGAAAATAATTTTATATTTTTTTTAAATGAGGTTCATCTCTGTAAAAAATGACAAACAGATACCACTATTCTTAGGTGCTTTCCATTGCAAGTGCGATGCCTTAACTATTATTGAATTTCTTCCTTTTTTTTGTATTTCGTCAATTAAATTGTTTTCTACATGAAACTATTAAGTACGGGTTTACCTACCTTCCTATGAACATTTTCTGTGCTTGGTAATTTAGTAATAACAGACCAATACCTTCAATATGTCTTGAAGGCAAGAAAAATAGCTTAGACAAATTTATTTTCACCATAAGGTGGGACAGAATGAAATTTCCGATGCCGTTATAAAATTTGACAATATTTCTCGAGAGAGTGAGAGAGTCTATCAGAGAACTAGGATCAATCTCTGCTTGTCTCTAAACTCTGTTAAAAGTACAACCATAACCATATTAACGTAAGATACGGCTGTAAACCTAACAGACTCAATTATCAAGAAATGGAAGACACTTGCAATAGCTTTAGATTTGATAAAATTTCTGTCCATATACAGGTAGTATGTTTATCACCAGGCTGGTTACCATAGTACAGACTCTGCCTAGTTCGGGATCAGACAGCCGTGTGTAAGATGTGTAAAGTTATTATTATTATTTTATTTATAGGCTAGATGAAATACATAGGCATAAAAGGTGCTCATTATGTATAGACTAATCAACAAATTGTTTATTAATAATCACTATCTTTTGGTCTTCTGCATAGAAGTGTATCGGGTTCAATGTTTTTTTATTTTGTACGTATTTAATTTAAGCCAGTGCCCTGTACTACTATGCACAATAATTACGAAATTTAATATTTAATGCTGTCAACGTGATATTTAATTTATGCAGGGAAGGAGCTAGTTAGAGGCGAGTTCAGTCACGCAGAAAAGGCTCTGGTCGTGATTTGTTTTAATAGTATTCTTACACCTAAAAAAAATGGTTTCACAACTCACATCTGCAACTCTTCCTCTTAACTGCATAATTACCCACAAATTTATGAGTTAGCTCACACTTATGAGAAGTTAAATAAAAACTGAAAAAGTTTAGTCTCAATCTAACTTTTGCTGCGATATTTTTACACGAAATCTCTTGAATAATATAAGATAACTATTGGTCGGTATAAAAAGTAAAGGTTCTCGTACACTTACAACTCGTGCAAAATTGTGGGTTTAATAAATAGAATCTAAACAATAACATTATATAAATGGTAATATTTCCTATTTATTCACATTGTTTGCAAATCATGGAAGACACTGGCGCCATACAGTGAATTTTCGCTAGTATATTTTACAACCTTGCAACCCACAACTAGTATCTGTTACTAATTGTATACTTCTTTGAACTATTGCTTTCAATAATTGTACCTATGTGTCAATTGTTCTACCAGCTAAATAAATTGTATTATAGTTAAAATGCCCATCTCTTCGGTAAGTTAGCAGAATTTTAATGGTTTTTTCTTCTTATGGTAAACTGCTTCTAAATATAGAAAAAGGTTAAGATATTGAAAAATCTCGCAAAATCTAGATAAATGAAACGTTTTGGATGAGTGTGGAAAAATGTTTCTTGATATCTTTATAAAAGATAAATCAAAACAGCTCGGGGCATTATCATTGAGCTTTTCAAAGCTCAGCCACTTTCTATTCTAACTTTCTCTGGTAAGCTTTCTAGATGAAGGTCTTGCAGTTGCCGTATGTGATTGAAAATATATTAACTTAATTGAAAACTAGCATTAGTTTTTACTTAACTGTTATGTCTTTATTAGAAATATTGTGAAACTGTTTCATATTAACCATAGTAGTCTTGCCATAAATATGGATTTCGATTATAATAAATTATCACTGATTTGATCAGAAAAGGAATGCGCTACCTTTTACTAATCTATATTTACTTCTAATAGCATTTTTTGGAGTACCTGTCGGGAATTATCTAGATGAAAGTTTTCCCATAACTGTTTTCGACCGTGCAAATGTTAGGTATCATGAAAAAAACCCACGATCCGTTCCCGAATTCGTTTAGCAGTCAGGATCACTAAACGCTTAACCTAACCTACACGTTGTAAATATATATGCAAAATTTCATAATCACTGGTTAAGTTAATATAAAATAGTCATAGTTTAGTAATTTACATACCAAATTGCGAGATCTTGTTACGGCAGTGAATTTAAAATCAAAAACATTATTTTTTAAATAGATAGATAGATGAATTATACTTTATATGGCACCGGGGCCGGGGGGCAATAAAAACTTATCGTTTACTTAGAGCAATCTCATAAAGGCAACCTTAGATGGACTGGAATCATTTTAAACTCGTGTTATATCAGGTATATGCAGTAGACAAGATTTTGATGGTTATATGTATATTAAACTAGCTGGTACCCGCGACCCGCAGGATTAGTAAGTACTTCGAGTAGCTTATTATCTTCTCAATATCTACCTCTATACTAAAATTCATCAAAATTGTTTCTGCGGATTACTTGTGAGGGCGTAATAGACAGACAGAATTACTTTGACAGATCCTTGTTCTACTTTGAGTAATGAATGTACGTACATTAAAACTAAGTATTCTCGATAATGATCTCACAATAAAAGGTATTATAAGCGCCATATTTTGTGCGGATAGATTTACGGATGCATATAATTAAATTTGAGGTAATACTAAAGTTATAGGTAGCTACTCCAATATACTCTTATAAAATATGTTAAACGATTTTTTTCGTTCAGCATAAACATTGAAAATGTAATTTTTAATGGGAACAGCAGGCGTTTAAAATTAAATGGTAAGTTATTGGGTATGATCGAGATGCGTGGTTTAAGAACATTGTCTCCCTTGGCTACTCCAGTTAAGATTGTGGCCTTCACAATATGCCTTCCTAGTTCGGTGACTCGCAATCGAGTACCGGTGTTTAATCTTGGCGTGTCCAAGTTACGCATTAACAAAACGGGTACACTGACCTTTATTTCTAACTTATGTGATGGCACCCCAGATAACTCAAAAGAGTAAAAAACTCCACGGGATAACTCGTAGTGTCATCGGATGACATGACTGTGTCGATGGAATTATACACTGTTGTTTCGCTGGTTATTTATAATGCATCGAAACAGTAACTTTTATAATAAAAATAACAAAAAGGAAACTTGAATGTGAGAATTGTGTTCTCATTTATTCAAGAAAAGGTGACTGTGTGCAGTAGTAATAAGTTACTGTTGGAATGAAGTCTGATATTATGCAGTACCATCAGTTGTAGACACGTTGTATTTGTATGTGTGTATTGATATTATAGGAATTATAATAAGATTAGGTTGTAAGTCACTGAACACTAAACACTGAACTTTTAAACTTTACATGTATAAGAATAACACACTAACTGGAACTAAATGACTTCCGATATTTAAACAATAACGAATTATAACTAGGAAATTAGTGACCATGGATTGTGTTTGGTGAGTTATTGATGGCACTAGTTACTCTGTTATATAACTTCCGTGGTATCTTGTGTACAATTCTTAGGAAATGATTAAATTAGACAAAATATTTAGGCGTGTACGTGTAAGCTATAAAAGATTACTAAAACATTTATTACAAGTTACTCATGACTTACAAGAATATTGTTGAATGACATGTGCTATCGATAACATCAAATATGATTAACAGAGTGTCCTTATCGATAAAAGGGACGAAAATCAATAATCTACAATTGCTATTTGCGCAGGGGTTTACTGGTGAGTCATATCGGAATCACTCTAACGCGAATGTCTTGTTTACGATGGACTGTAATAAAGTAGTAATATAGGCAATGTTCGTATATAACTGCATGACGGTCGGCGTATACTTCAGTCGTTCCCAACATCTCAAACCAAACGATTGTGTTAACAGATTTCGATATTTTTTACGAGTAACATTTCACCATGTGAGTAGAACAATCTTATTCTTTTTTTTAATATGTTATGATTTATCTGTGGTATTGACTAGGATTATCTAATTTTGGATGCCGTGGCCTTCCAGTGAGTCTCTTTTTTATCATCAGAGTGTATTTTTCCGAAAGTACCTACTACTCGTAAATAAACTGGCTATTGACAATAATGTATAAGTAACAAACCATATTCCTTTTTTCAAAGCTTTAGAGGTTAGATAAGATTTAAAGCATTTAGATTTTGTTTTACTATCTACTATTATTATGTATTTTCTAACTCTATATACTACTCAATCATCTAGCCAAATGTCCTTAACTCAATAGCTCAATTTGCTAGAAACTACCTTGCTGATGAGATGCTTAGATGCCTACATGTCCACAGCAATTAGTCCGATAATTATCTTAATGGAGGAAATATCGACATAGTGACATACCCTTAGAATAGGTGCTCTGTTACTAAATGAACTTAATGTAAATATATTTTATTGATAAAGTTAAAGAGGTTCAGCGACAATTTGTAACTTTTACCGTAGATTCTTTTTCGCCTTAAGTTAGGTCAAAAAAGTATTTAATACAACCGACAGTATACGACATAAGTACTAGTTAACTTCAACCTATATACTTTAAACATTTATTTTCATCGTTCTATTCAATGAATTCTCCAAATTTTTAATAAAACAAAAGGTTACATACGTTTGATGCACATTGAAAACCGCCTAACCTTTATTCTTGACAAGTTTTACTCAAACGCGATTTTTTCCTGTACTTTTATGTTTTCATAGCATTTGTTACTATATATTTCAGGTCTTAATTGAGGTACATACGCTGTTTATTAATGTCTAAGAATACATTCGTTTCATTTGAGGTTTTGTCCACTTAAATTTGTTAAGCCGGTGGAAAGCAAGGTTTTAACATTCAACTGAAGCTCTGCTAGTAACTTAATTCTGCGGTGCAGTACAGTTCCTCCCCGTAAACATAAATTGATGATTCTAAATTTTAGTCTGACTGTCTGAATTCCTCTCATTGTTCAATATTCAATAGTACCAATTCAGATAAACAAGTCCATGTCATGCCACGTAAAGTGTATATTATTATACTTCATATAAGTTTTTAGTGTCGTTATTTATCTAATGAAACGAGATCGTGAACCTATCGAGAGAATAGTTGTCATCTGGACTACAACAATGTAATAATAATAATAACTTCAAATATCTCAAAAACGGCCGTCTGATCTCAAGCTAAGCAGAGTCTGTACTATGGTAACCAGACTGCTGATTAACATACTTTTGTATTTCTAAATACATACATATAATAAATAAATTCGAGCCAGGCACAGAACAAATGATCAGAAATATTTGTTATGGGTGGGAATCGAATCCACGACCCCTGGTTTAAGTGGAGCAACCACTAGACTAACAGTAACTTTGATCCTACACGTAATTTTAAACCAGTTCATCTTAAGTTAAAATCATAAACTTACAATGAAGAGTGTTGTTTGACTTGTCAAGTTATGTCAATAATTTTAATAGTATTGATACTTGACTTATGTTTGTGTTTCCTCAAATCATTTGTATTTACTAATGAGAAGTTCTAAATTCATAGAATAAATCCTCTAACTTCAAACATTAATTACACCTAATTATTTATACTTCTTTTTATTGTTTCCAATATACATCATCAGCATAAAGTAGAATTTTTGCAATGCAATATCTATTTAAAGCGCTACTTGAATCTATCAAAGACCATTCGTCATCATCATCATCAACAGTCTCCAATAGTCCACTGCTGGACACAGACCTCTCCTTAGAAAGGATGTTTAGGCCTGCCATTATTCATTTCATATTTTAGGTGTCTTAGTCACAAGATAGTTTATGTATTTATAACATTGTTTAGATGTTTAAGAGTAAAATGTATAATAATATCTACACTTTTATTTAGCAACCAGTTTAAGGCTAGGTTTAATCGATGGATGTTCTTAGTAACTTGATGCGTTCTTTGAGTCCTAAACAGGTTTGTTTCTTAAACATTCCAAGGACAACGAAGGCAGAGAGAACGAGTTTATAATTCTTATTGTTTGTTAAAAAATTCTTTAGATTAGGTGCTTATATTTGCGTTATCTACCGTCATACTTATGGATTTAGTTTAGCTTTGTGACAAAAAAAAATGTTTATTTGACTTAAGTATACATTAGACATACATATTAGACATACAGAAACTGTATTCCATACTAGGCTAATGCCTGTAAATAATATAATTATCATTGTAGTTTTCAGCTTCGCTAAAGACTACAAAGCTCTCATTCTTTTTGGTGATTATTACTATTATTTGGTGATTACACCATCTGTTGTCATACTTAAGAAATGAGACTAAAAATTATTTTTATTGGTACAAAAGTAGCCTCAATACTCATTTACACAGCTCTAAAAACCCAGGTCAAGGCAGCAGAAAGATGTTCCTAATTTGTTACTACGTAACTTGGACTAATTACCACCATCATTACCCTATAGTTAATTTCTCATTAGTATTTTATTTATTTTCAGAATAATGGCCGACTCTGACCGTATTGTTTATCCTGACGAAGTCGAGGATGCGAAGGCCGCAGCAGCTGATGCTAAGAAAGATGTAGGAGGAGAGACTAACTCCATCGAAACACCACCTGAAGAGATCACCATTACACCCAGGAATGTGATACAAGTCCCTTCTAATTGTCCCGAAGGCTTCAAAAGGGGACCGGATGGCGTTTGCCGTGAGGTCTTCTAATTCGATTCTAGGATAATAACTGCCTTTAGGTAATAGTGAATAAAAGAAAGAAGTTTTGCGTAAATATAGGCTCTAATTCAAGGTTAACAGGTATTTGTGAACAATCGTGCTCAGTCACGCACTCGCTCGAGGCAGTTATTACAATTTTTTATTCGTCAAATGATAGGTACATTATTTAATAGGTTAAGTTTACATTTACTAAAGAGCAGTATTAATGAGTTCGAATGTGTTTGTAATGTTTTTTTACTAAGTCTTTTTAAGTATTGATTGGAATGTGTTGAAGAAAAAAATAAATGTTTTTTGTATCTACAGAATCTTTAGTCATTTATTTCGTATATGGCCAACAAATTGTAAGCAAGATTATAATTAAAGTCTTCATGGTTATTTAAGACTAAAATAAAACCATTTTCCTTTCTAATAATTAACGATCATTTACTTTAAAATATTCATATAATTACATAATAATGGCCTAACTCTGTGATAATTAAAACAGATGGTCTAAGATAAAAAAATTAAATATTTTTTACTAAACCCTGAATCGTAAAATATTGTTGATATTCAACTACAAAATTATAAGTAACCGAGCGTTGCATAAGTTTTAACAAATGGAGCATCACTCTCACAGGAATTCCTGAAAAAGAAAAACTTTACGTTAACACACATTCGCCAAGACATATATTATTTCAATGGCGACTACAAAACTCCAAAAGTCTTGTCTGAAGAAAAGCTTGTTCGAGCAAACCAAACATACGACTATATTTAAAACTGGAGTCTAAAACTAAGTCGATAACATATATATAATATATATATATATAAATTCGTAAGATTTTCTATTAAAATAATATTCAGAAAATTATTCACAGTAGGCCATTCCATCCCATGTCAATCATCACCTCACCACCGCTTACGTTCAAATGGTGTTCCGTGACATGTGAGTCTATTGAAAGGGGTTTACCTAGAGGGAGAATACGAGTACGAGTATATTTTACCGTTAAGAAACATACAAATTTTGGTTAGAGTAATAGAATTATACTATGGTTGTAATTACATTTATCAGATAGTGTGAAACATTCGGCCAGATCTTGTAAGACCATAAAAGGTGTTTCAATCAGTGACATTACCTTTATGTTCAGCGAAAAGTACTAATCAAAAGTTATTCGATTTTCGTTTATTGGTATTTTATTAATTTATCCTTATTTCAGATATAAGATTACTTAAATCTAATCATCTTCATCAATCTTACCTTATGGAATTTTCGTATTTATCATATGATAAATAAATCCAATTAATATGGAAACCAACCAATAATATGAATTATCGATACGTATAAAATTACTTGCACTGGCTGACTGAATGATTAAACGAAACTGCTGGATCTAAAAGCTTGAAATTTTGGCAGCCGATGCTTTTCATAAGTAAAGTAGAAGTAACATAAGGGATGAACGGTTTTAAGGAAGTTCGTCATTATCAAAGCTAGAAACTCGAAATAAGAAATAATTCCGCCATTAAGTCCGCCGATGTACATAAGTGCATTAAGATGTAAAATAAATAAATAATCACGTAAGCGAATCCGCGTCCAATGGCTAGCAACATACTAGATATGATTAAGGATTATATTTAATTAATCACAAACACTTCGCGATAATTAAATCGCGAAAAGTGGAAAATGAATCTGGTTTTCTATATATTCAATCCTATCCGTGTGGTGACAGATTAAGAATACGGAGTGTCACTACGCAGGACAACAGCACTGCAAAGAGACGTAAACTGAACACAAACCCTATACCAACCTGTCTGGCCGGCGTGGTATAGTAGGCCAAAACCTCTTTACCAAGGAGAGGCCTATGCCCAGCAGTAGACTATTAAAGGCTGTTGATGTGATTTGTGATATATTTAATATACAAAGAAAAGCATGGCCTAACTACATTTTGCAACTAATGAAGATACGTACAAAATGGATGAGTTGATATGTGTTGTGTTTTCTATTATTTATTATAAGCTTACCGACTTTTTAAAGAAATATATAGACCTCTTACCATCATCTCCAATATGCATTATTTCAATGAAAATTGAGTCAGAGCTGCTATGAACAAGTGCTAAGCAAATGTGATATAACCGAAATATAATAGTTAATTAGATTTAATGCATACGTATACAAAGAGTGAATAATTTGCAAAAAGAAAAATAAATATTATATAAGATATTATTACATTACATTATATTAAAATCATATATTTAAAACACGATCACCTTTATATACCATAAATATGTATTTCTTTAAATCTTAATCACTTTAAAGTGAATAATTTCGGGTTTCTCTTTGTTATTGTTCGATGTCATTCGTGGACTAAAATTTTATGAAAAGTTGTGAACTTCCTGAATTTAATCAGACAGATTTTTAAAATTAATATTTTATAGTATATAGGTTATGATTTTAAAGACTTAATAGGTTTTATCTTTACTATAAAATAAGACCATTCTCGCATCATGAGCATTGGAAATTAAAAAAGCGAAACCAGTTGAGTGTATAGTTAACATACTATGTAATAACAAGAGATTTCCCGTAGTGTCACCTGCGTTCCACTCTGCTCCAAGGGTCGTTGTATGATGTTACTAAGCTTACTCGTATAAGCACTTAAATGGTATATTTATTTACTTAGTTGCAGACATATAAAGGATGTCTCAGTAAGAGTGCATTTTTTGGATTGTAAAGAAGACATGTTCTGATTAAGTATGGAATAAAATAACCGGCCAATGGCCCCCACGGCTCTGAGGAAAGACCATTGTTCTTTTCATGAAATTTTCCATGACTTTCACACAGAGATGTGGCTGTATCTCACCGATGACGTGTTGGATCTGTGATTTGAGCTCGGGAGTTGTTTCTGGTTTAACCCGAGATTTCACAAAACCTCAAAAGAAAAAAACTGGCCAGTTGACATCAGATATAATGTGTTCTGGAAATCGTTGCTGCAATAAGTCGATTGTTTCATGCGCGGTGTAGCAGGTGTCGCCGTCCTGTTGAAACCACATGTTGTCCAGATCCATGCCGTCCAGTTGAGGCCACAAGACCTCCTGTAACGAATGCCGTTCACAGTCAATGCAATTTCGGCCTTATCTTAAAAAAAAAAGGCCCAATCACGCCGTCTGACCAAAATCCGCACCAGACAGTTGCTCCTTGTGGGTGTACCCATGGATGGTTCTCATGGATTGCATGAGGATTTTCTGAGCCCCAAATTCGTCAATTTTGTGTTTTCACGTAGACATTCATAGGGAAATGCGCTTCATCGGAGAAGATGACTTTTTTGGAAAAATTGCCATCGACTTCACTTTGCTCCATTACCCATTTGAGGTTTGAGCTCCTGCGTTAGCTGAATCTTGTACGCATGAAAGTTGTCGCTGCGTAGTGCTTCGTGAAATTTGATCCATAATCGATCCAGTTTCTTCAAATTTTTGACCACTTTTTGAATGGTTGACACTTTAGGTGCACTTCCTCTCGCTCATACTGAAAATTTGGCGAAGTTTTCGAGCGGTTTCAGCGTATCTTTCCCAATTTTTGTAATGAGTTTTCAAAATTAGAACGCGTTGTTCTTTCGAAAAGCACTAAATTTTTAGTAATCCTAATAAACATAGGTGACAGCTGTAAAATTTCAGACTTGCCACGTGTACGAAAAAAGGACGTTCTAAATTTAAAAAGTGCACTCGTACTGAGACACCTTTATATTGCAGGCATATTCAACCAATAAGATAAACTTTATTATGTTAGTTTAAATACGTAAAATGTCATTGCTATGCTATGCACGATCTACTGTGATCTGTCGCCGAATCGTTTTTAATGTCATATGTTAAAAGGATAAAAGGAAGAAATCTCTTAAAGAAGATTTCTTTTCATAACTGTTTTTATGAACTTATTTTGTGATACATCCAATGATACCATTGGATACATCCTTTTATTAATTATTGGAAAATGTTTTAGCACTTTTTGTAAACAGGTCTTGATACCTATTACCTATAACGTCGCTCATCTTTTCATTCAAATATTGAACGTTGTATTAAGGTCACATATTGTGTATTATGTACATGTGTTATGTACAACAACAACAACATGTATTTTGTAAAATAAAATAACTACCTACTTGTAAATAATTACATGTTTGTGTAAATTATAATTAGTATCGTTAAGCCATACAATTTGAACATAGTATTGAAATGGCATTGCTTGCGTCAAGATTCGTTTGATTTGATCTTGTTGTAATTATAATTATCATGCGAACGCATGCTATGCTATGCTCGCATAAAAACCTACGTGGTTTAAGCGAGTGACTAAGTATTTTAATAATATAAATTGAAAACTTTTTGGTCACTAACTGAAAAAAAGTATTTAAAGAACGGCCACTATACATCAACAGGTAGGTATGCATAATAGGTATGTATTGTATTTTGATTCTGTTAGTTTTCGTTTCTATTCGTTTTTAGATATATTTAAATGACGAGTGATGACCAAATACATGTATCTGAACAAGTATTTGGTATCGATATTCGATATCACTTACAATTTTTATTTTATTTGTACACGATAAAGTATTCCTTATCGGAGATACCAACCTGAGATACATCGATAGGTAACTACTATCGATAATCGAAGTCTACTGACGTAGATAAAAAAATATTGTTTGATCTTTAATTTTTTGTGAAATAAACTAACTTGTCGGTATTTATAAATATATACAATACATATCTAAGTTTTTGTCTTGAAATGGTTTCTTTCTTTGATCTGATCCTTACTGAGGATCAGGTTTGTCATTTTTGAACAAACACAGTACCCACTCACACTCAACATTAAAAAAGGTTACGACACGTTAAAAAAATAAAAAATAAGTATAACATTTTTCGATGGGATATCACACAAGGACAATTTTGTAAACCCAACTAGGGTTTACAAAATTGTCCTTGTGTGATATCCTAACGCATGGGAAATCAAATCAATATATTTGTTGAGTTTTCATATATCCTTTGGGCTGTGCCTACTTATGCACTTTTATATCAATTCGACATCCATTACTTATGTTAGTGACCAATCTCGTTTCGGTTGATCGATTCAGCCTTTGAGTTGGTTTCTATTTGAAAAAGTAGAGCCTGTTGTTTGTTTATACACTTGACAGATTGATTACTTTAATTTTTGACTTGTTACTTCATAAGTATATGCCATTACAAACATACGTCCGTTATCCCAATAGTAACGAACAAAGTGTGAGACGTTTAGTTTATTACAACTAAGTATTTGATTATATTAATTTTATATTTGATACCTACCGACTAAAACCCACAAGACCTGAGTGAAAGTTGTCCTGCGTAAGTGCAGTTATTTATTTGTATAATCTTTGGTGCCGACTCATGCATTAATTATCACTCACATTCATCATAATCAACTTATTGCTGAGCATTGATGATAACAATGAAACTACGTGCTAAGACATGCGAAAATACAAACCAAAATGATAAAGGACATAAAGTTATTTTATTTTATATCTACATATTCTTCACGATATACAAAAAAAATTTACAAGTCAACCAAAGAACAAACGAAACAAAAACATATTTTATATACATCACTGTACTTAACAAAAGATAATTATATGGTGCGTGATCCTAAAAAAAAATGTGTGACCAACGTATCAAGCAATCCATCACTTTTTGTAGAACATTCATGCGGAATCAAATCAATCATCATACCTAACGATTAGTCATTACATTATAAGGTTACTGCATATTTCACTGTGTATAATTATGAATTATTTAACCATATGAATTATTTTTATACTGGCAATATTTAAGCTGTTCCATAAAAAATTAAGTTATTATTTTTACTAAGCCATGTGTACCTAGTGCGTCTCTAGTGCACTAAACGTGGATGTCTAATCTACAAGCTAAGCCTACAGTAATTCAGTATTATTATCTTGAGATAGGATAACACAACTACACATGAAAATGTCCAGCAGTCATAATAAAAAACACCGTATCTAGTAAATACTGAACAACACCATGAAATGCTGCGTAAACGATGCACAAACTAAACTCCCGAGTACTTACTCGTCCTCCCAGGGACATATGTCGTTCCGCTGCTTTCGATCACCGATGCCTTTATTATCACGCTTAACAATAGTGGTTTCAGAGACCGCCGTCAGTTCGACTTTATGAGCAATTGTTTTCGTCTCGTCGGACTCCCTTGAATCTTCTGACACTGTTTGCAGTGGCACCGAAGGCACTTTGTCAATGTTGTCGTCATCGACTCCGATGTCCTCGCAGACGGCGAGTGGCGCCGGCCCGGACATATCTGGCAATAGTCCACAAGATTCCGGCACATTGGTGGACGTAATTGGAATAGCTGTGGACGTTTCCGCGATTGCTGCAGACGTTACCGGTACCGTCACTGATGTTATTGGCATAGGCGTTTCAACACATTCAACATTCTCCATCTCCGGCTCTGTGACAGTTAGTTCGACCACTTGGACGCAAGACATTGTAGCGCCGTCGCTTTTTGAATCAGTTTTATTACATAAATCATTAGTTGAGGCCGGACTGGTTTCTTTTATCGTTGACGGTTCTCTGGATAACACGCGGCGTATGGACTTGATGTCATCCTCTGAAGATTTGGTGTGATCGGTCGAGTCTTTGGATTCGGAGACGCCTGAGTCGTCACAAGAATCGACCGAGGGTGCACCGACGATAGATGATACAGGGCGGTCCGAAGCAGTGTCCTTCTCAGTTTCCTGTGAGCTTTCGCTAGGCAACTCAGGGCTTTCACACTTAAATGCATGGCGTACTGGCTCTGTAGGCGTTGCATCCGCAGATGCAAATACAGAAGAAGGCTCGTCAGACTGAGCGATGGATCGTGGGTCTTCTGGGGAGCCTGAAGCAGATTCGTCGTCAGGAGCAGAACTGACGCTAATAGTGGGTGTGGGGTGAGCGAGGGGTGGTGGAACGGGAGGCGGCGGATGCTGTGCGGGGCGAGGAGGTCGAGGAGAGTGAGGAGGAGAAGCTAAGGGTGTGAGGTGCCGTGGTTCAACTGCAGATAGGCGCCGTAAAGGTGGTGGGGCTCCACGCAGCCCACCGTCCAGAGTGCTCTGCTGAGGGAGACGGCGCAGTCGTTCTCCGGCTGACACGGCCGCGCTAACGTCAGACGAGGAGCTGCCAGAATCTGCGGCTGAGTCCTGCCGTCGACGACTTGTACCTCCGTAGTCACGGGACGAGCACTCCCACGGCAATACATCAGCAGTATCGTCGTCCAATGGATCTCTGAATGTAAACATAAAAGTAAAAATTAATAGTTTAATCCAAGCTTTGATTGGTTTAAAAATTAATGGCTCTGAATGTAATAGCAATTCATATTAATCCATACTTTAACTTTTATATATTATTGTTATATTATAAATGTGAAACTGAGTTTGTTTGTTTGTTACGCTTTCACGCCTAAACCACAAACCCGAAAATTATTGTTCTTACTATTTACTTCGCATCTTTTACCATATTTTGTCACCATTAAAATTTTCCCCGGAATGCCACAAATATTTCAAGACCAAAATTAGCCAAATCGGTAGAGCCATTCCCGAGTTTTAGTAAAACTAACGAACAGCAATTCGTTTTTATATATGATGAAAAAAGAAGAGAATATTACACGTGGATGACACATGATGATGATGATGATGATGATGTAATGACAGAAGATGACACATGTTTGTCCATATTTTCTATTTGTAAATTATTCATTAATCTCAAATGTGACGGTAGCAGTCACAATTAACATTAATTGTAATTAATTGTAGTAGTAGATACAAATACGATTTTAATCGTAGTCAACATTTACAATAACTTAATTACGATTGCCATTACTCAATTGTTAATTTAAAATTGTTTCTTTTTTTTTTGCCCAGCCCCGGTTGACTTAGGTGACCATGACTTAAGTTTTCTTTGCAAGTTTGTACGAGTATTAGCTTTAAGTTAGTATCAAAATTGTAGAATGCCAACAGCGCCGCTTTCCCAATGAGGTGATGAGGAGGACATTATATAATCCGTGAAGTCGAAGGGTAGTTTTGTAGTAGTTATGTGGCTTACGTTACTGTACTCGATATCAGATTTGTACGTTATAATTTAAATTTAAACCGTCGTCGTTTACAACTTTAGGGCAATCTTGAAACGAGCAGTTTAATAAGCATAAAGTACATTTTGAGATCTTCAGTTCAATTGAATCCAGAAAATGTATAAATCACCTGAACGGTATATCACATAGGTTGGACTGTGAGTGTGAGTGGCTGGGCTGATCGGGCGGGCGCGGCGGCTGCGCGGCGCACACGGCGAGCTCGTGCGCCGAGCCCGTGAGCGAGCGGTCCGAGCCGCGCCGCCGGGCGAGCGCCACGCCACCGGCCCCACTCGTGCTCGTTGAGCCTGGTTTTTTCTTCACTTGACCCCCGAAATTAAAGAACCTGTTAGAAAAAAAAAACATAAAACATTTTGCAGCGAAATCAGTCCTTTATCTTTCTATACTATACAAACATTTTACATATTTGAAGGAATAATATTTTCCAAGAAAGTTGGTTCCAACTTAGTGTAAGAACAAAAATATTTTACGACATACATGGGTTTCGCTAATATTCGTGACATTTTAATAAATACAATATTAATGCATAGCAACTATTCATAAACCGGATCCATATAATTTAACTAATATTTTTTGAATTGAAGTGGAACTAAACAGCAAAGAACGTATTAAAAAGTACTTATCGGATACTCATCATTTAATTTGTTTACATTTATAAGTGGAACATACTATTTACTAGTATGTGCGGTAGTTCACTTATGCAAAGTTATCAACGACGTAATAAACCATTCAACATTTAATATCACATAAGGCGTGCGTCATCAGACATCGACATCATTTACGGCCTCTTACAGCCGCCGTGGTGGTTTTGTATGGCAACGATTTTAAACAAACAAGAAGATACCTATTCATTTTTTAATGTTGCCTGTTACATCGAGTGTCAGACTTATTGTAGTTTTTTTTTGAGTTTTGTTATCGATTATTTTTAATTTATTAAAAATAGATACGATCAAACCAAAAACTTACTTAGCTTTCTTCTGATGTACGTTCCTGCCCTCCGTCAAAAGCCGCTGGAAGTGATCTGAACGTATGAAGCGTGGATAACAATCCTTTTTCAATAGTAGACTATAGACATGATCAGCTGCATGGTCAAGGGCATAACGGGAGCCACTTCGCATGCCCTCTGCAACACGTTCAGCTGTCGCGCCATCAATGTTTATCTCGCACGGCGCACCGGGCTTGAGGAATTCTCTGAGAATGGATTAGAGTCATATTATTTTAACCTATCTATTATATAAATTACGACAAGTGCGCAGTGTAAGGGCCCAATATATAATTAATATTTTTACATATTTTAACGACATCAGATTTTCATCTAAATTCAGATTCAGAAAAGAGAAATGATTCTTCGTTGGTTTGTTTGAGAACTGAGATAGTCTGCTTTATGGTAGTCCATCCTTGTACCACTGTACTACATTTTTAAACATGAAATGGGGTTTATTAACATTATATAATTTTTATTCCTTCTATTACCTAATCTCTCAAATGCAATAGGTCCCAATGACGCTCGAGTAAATCCCCATTTGGCATCAAGGGCTCCCCGTTTTTTTTTTTTTTTTCGTGCGGAAGTCCCCTCGGATACCACCTATCGGTGGCATGTCGGAATCAAGGGCTCCCCTACTATTAAATACATAAGTAAAGTAACTGGGTGACTCAAACGTCAAAAGTTTTCCAGATATTACTTCTGACGTACTGTTCGTATGCCTCTTAGTTTTGTCCACAAAAAATATTTATAGGGTAATAATAAAGGAGTGAAGTACTTACTCGAAAATATCCTCAAGCTTCTTTGGTATGTATTTAGTACTGCTTCTTCTTAAGTCCATCACGGCGAGCCAAAACCGGATGTTCTCGTGCGAGTATTCTTTGCGTAAGAAGCTAGTAAACTCATTGAGCCCTGTTGGGTCCGACACCAGTTCCTCTATTGAGAGAGCCCACCGCTGAACTCGCTTTTCACTGGGTACTTCCACTCTAAGTAAAAAAAGAAAAAATAACATTAAATAGTTTTATAGTCTAAAAAACTTAATAATATAGTCTGACTGATGAATGACCAATGTTTCTAAATTTTCTAAATTTACGATGTGTAAAAAATTCTTACACTTTAAAGTTTAATAAAGTAGAAAGCAGTAAATACGACCTAATACTTTAATTAACTGGTTTATTATTTCATTGGTTTCTTGTTATTGATGCTAAGATCTCTATATTTTCTCGGAGATTTCTCCATTGGGTAGACCCGAGTTCCTTGCAATAATATACTCACATGTGACGGCACATCTTAAGGTTTTAGTAGGATCTATTCCGAAACAGTATTCGCTGTGAACCGAGGTGAAGTGGTGACCCGTGGGGGTTTCCACACGATAAAAGAAAGTTATCTATATATTATATTATATATAGGTATATTATGCAAGAACATAATCGATATTTCGTAGAAATAAAATAAATACATGTTCTATATACAGGTGATCAACTAAATACAATATAAATATGATTCTACAAAACTTTTTGAAGAAGAAAAATAGGTATCGAATTTACAGAAATGGTACTGAACTCACAGAGGACTGTTAATTTGCCAGAATAGGGTGTCGTCGCTGACCCAAGGGTTGGAGGGCTGCGGCGGGGTGAGCCAGGGATCGTAGGGAGCGAAGGTCTCCGAATAGGCCACGAGGGCCTCTAGGGCAATTGAAGTCTTCACTCTCGTACGGTCCAAGCTCGCTTTTAGATGTTCAATCTAGAAGAATTAGAAGGAGAAAGTTAAACAGATAAAAAAGATTAAGTACTGTCTACTTAGATTTTAGCTGCAGATTATATAAAATAATTAAGAAGCAATGCGAAATACTAGATGTTTAGACACATCAGTCCTAATGATTAGTACAACTATTCTACTATAAATAAAAGATAAGGTGATCCTTCAATGAGAACAGTAGAAACAAATTAAAATGCACGTTTTGAAGTCTAGGAGCGGTCAGCATCAATATGAAAGAAACTCCTAGAGAGTTTGCACTTTGGGTTTAATTTCAGCTTTGTTCTAAGATATATGCCTGATGACTTAAAATCCTCTTCGTACGAGAAATAACGAGACTTCTACATTTCTATGGTAACGTAAAACAGCTTTTGTAGCTCGATGGCTTTTATATTTTTCAGGGCTGGGAAGAGCCATGAACTTGGGACGATCCCGGGTGCGCAATTACCAAGTAAAATGTACAGATACGTGTGAAGTAAGTAACGTGGTATCCACCAAGTTACTTACTTTACAGTAGGTAGATACCTACTTATAAAAAAGACATTATACACTATAGTATAGGATGTCGTAGATACCGCATGGTCATTGCTGTTTAATTTTAGTGCCAGCTTTTTGCGGCGATTTGAAGCTCATAATAATCACATGAATGATATAATAAACTAACGATAAGGTAAATTTTGGTTGCATTGATGAGAAATAAGGAAAAAAAAAAAAAACTGAGGCAAAGTTAGAGAAAAACAATCTTTGAAGGGGTTATATATCGTGCCAAAATTTGAGTTCAATCAGTGCAGTATTTTTTGAGTTTTTGAACCAACCAGCTGTACCCTGCCACGCTTCACGGTTGCACATTGTGGTTACATTAATGATAAATGAGGAACAAAACTGACGAGAAAACTAGTTAAAAACAATCTTTGGAGCAGGTTAGACATCTTGTGAAAGTATGAGATCAATCGGTGCAGAACTTTTTTTAGTTTCCGAAGCGTACACAAACCAACTTAACATATATATAATATATATAGATAGTGTTGAAACACGTATCACAAAGTTTTTAGAAAGAGGGTTTTCTTGTCAGGCCCTTTTCACACTAATACGTCAATATTTAGAAACTCATTAGACGCGACAGATCAACTCCTCAGTTCAAGGCCAAGTTCACAGCCAAAGTGAAACCCATTACTTTTTATGTTTATTAGCAGTTTCTTTCCGTACTCATTATCGGATCACCATAAAAACTTACTACGCATTAAAGGATAGAAAGAAACATTCTAAGACTACAAATAAATCAATATTTCTTACTTCTCTAGTGACTTGATGAATGCTTCGTTTTTTATTTCGATGATGTCTAGCCCTGACGGGCACGGGGCACGGCTCGAGAGCGCTCACCACGCCGGGTGGTGGCCGTGCCACGCGCCAGTACGCGCGCTCCTGGCTATCGCTCACTATTTTATCCCCTTTCTTACGTTCTTTCGCTAGACGAACCTGGAATTAAAAGTAGGTATTTATAAAATATAAATTGCTATAACGCTTGATAATATACAAAAAGGAAGCTTCAAATACAGCACAAGAAACACTAATACTCTGTCCGTTCGTTTATTTTCTTTTATAAAAGTTACTTGAGAACAAAACTGTGTCAGAGTTTGTAATTTGCCTTAACTACAGTAAAATGCCTTAACTACAGTAATTTGCATTATTGTATATATACTTTAGTTAAATAAGCCGCGATATTTAAATATCGTGCCAAGTACCAAGATGTTTAACTAGTTTGTGATTTAATTAAATTGCAGAGTATGATCAGCCATTCAGTTCCATCTTTTCAGAGCTACGTATTCATGCATAGCGCAGAGTATTGCACAGCTTTAGGAATATGAGTTTTATGTTTCCGCCATGCATTTAGACACCCTTAAATATATCTCATAAGGAACTAGCCTAATGTCGTTTAATATAACGTCATTACAGTTCATCTAAGAGTTCCCTGGAAGATTATTTAGTGATGTTGTGCATATTCAAATTACAAAGTACCTTCCCTACAACTCAATGTTCCTTTTTGTGGCATGTGGAGCAAACTAGCGAACGGGTCACCTGATGGTAAGTGACAACCGCCGCCCATAGACAGCTGCAACTCAAGAGTCACCATCGTTGTAATCTTTGCCCTCCCAGATCAAAAGGAGGGCCGGTTTGGGCTCCGGTATCCTCAGTCACTCGTCAAAGAGCAATGAAAGAATTTATCAACAAAGGTTTTCCTGTGACTGATCATGCCTTTCCCAGGTTCAATGTGAATTTATTATTAAGTAGTTGTCTAGAAAGACTAACCTGTTCCTCTGCTTGCATAGTAATAAGGTCCCACTTGGCAGCGAGGTTCTTTTTGAGGTTCGCCAGCGCCTCTTGCTCGTATTCCTCGAGGCCGTGACGCTGCTTATTGCGTAACGTTCGCTTGACAAGGTAGATAGCGTATTCCACGTTGTCCGGGCCAAGGGTAGGCGCGCTCGTACCTCCCCCAGCTCCCCGTTGGCCTTGCCATGGCCAGTAATATGGACTCTAGGATAAATCAAATTCCCTTTAAAATTACAACTATGCATCAAAATACAAATACAAAAATTGCAGCGATATTTTTAGTCAGGGATATATATTTTTTACAGAGATATGTAAATATAATCATACTGGAATAGAAAATCAAAGTTAAAACCACCATTACACTATATATAGTCATTTTGTAGGTATTTCGCGAATTTTGAACCCGCTTTCAAAATTCGAACACTTTTGTAATTATTGCCATATTATTAAACATATTTTCGTGTTAAAATATAACCTTAGCGTTTTAGAAATTTTCTCATCACTATCAAGCACCTATCCAATAACATCCTACTTCATTTGTACTTACTTTATGGTACTATACTCGTTCAAATAATAACCTCTGTATAAGATTAAAAAAAACTGAACTGAACAATTTAGTCTTATGAATTCTGTATCTTTAAATATTTCTTCATATATATTTTTTAAAGCGCATGTCAAGTTACGGTTTACAATAGATTATATAGATATATATCTGAATACTTACTTGAAATCGATAGAGTGAAGAGTCATCCTTTAAGACAAGGTTTTTTAAATCGTTGACTGGAAAGAAGTAACCATATTGGCAGAGCTGATTGGCTAAATTTATTGCTTCAACTGTAAAACAAATAAATAAAATTAGACAAGTGCCATTTTAAAAAAAAGTTTTTTATGTTAGTAATTATTATATGCTAAACTATTTAAATGTGTTAGTGGCTTAAACTCTAAATAACTGAATTCTTTCTGAAATTACTGTATTTTGTGATACGTAATGCCTTTTATACAGTAACAAAAAGATAAACAAGGCATTCACCATCCTATTGCACCCTTTTTAACCGACTTCAAAAAAGGAGGAGGTTCTATGTTCCACTGTACCTATGTATTTTTTTTTTTAATACTTTATGAGGTCTACGATGATGTCACAAAATTATGTATTGATACTTTTTGTAAGGGACCTTAACAAATTACAGCGTTTGGACGTCCATTTTACATATTTTCAACATAACATAACATTTCACCAAGAAATATATATTTGTAAATACCGCATACGGTTAAAAACTGCAATGTAATTAATTAAACAGCCGAAGAGCGCCTGAACCCCAGCCGCCAACTTGTGTTAGTGTGACTGAGACTGTTTGCACGGATTACAAATGTAGTTATTACTTTTGTACGATACCTACGGAAATGATTCTAACTTTATTCAAATTGAAATATGCCGGTCGAAAATTCGAATAATTTTCGACTAAGAAGGATGGTCTGAATGCACTATATCAGTATTTGTTACACCGTCCCTTACACCCTGTATATAACTTTGTCCTAAACAGAATTTTAACCCGATCTTTTGATAATTACAAAACACTACACAGAATTTATTGACTGTGGTCTATTGTATGTTAGAACCATAGCATTATTACAGCAACATAGAACATATAGTTAATTAACAAGTTATGATTACAAACAATTCGTGCAATTGTAATTTTAACTGCATTTCATGTTGTTGAAAAGGTGAAGGTAAGTGGTTAAGGGATAAATAATGCTTTTCATTACAGTCATTTTATATCTAATGGAGTCGCTGATACATTTTTTAATTATTAAAATTTAACTTGTGTATGACATATAAAAAAAGTATTTTGAGATATTAAAATTTTTAGAATTTAACAACTTACAAACGTCATTAATTACGTAGATACAGGAGTATCTCTGAGATACCCTTTTGTATTAAAAAAGTATCATTAAAAAATGAGAACGTTAAAAGCAATTACTGACAAACATTTTTTATTCAAAAGCATGACGATTATTATTAAAAACACATTGCATGCCAATCAGTTAAAAGGCCACTCTTGTATTAACTTCATCAACTTCAGCAGACTGCAGCGTAAGTTACCACTAACTTTAAAGTTTAGTAGGCATGCTTATTGGCATAACTGGTCACCTACATATATTTACGGCTGTTCTCTCGGTAAAGCTACTGTCTACGGGGCGACGGCGCGACCAGGCCCATGGACCTACGACGCCGTGTACCAATAACTCACCGTTGCTAGTTTCATCAAGATTAAACCGATCCATTAGCCATTCGACAAGATCGTAACCTGAAATGAAAATGAACCTAGAATTAGTAATTGAGTATACTCATTAGAATACGAAACGAAATAGAAAGTTATAGAATTTCAAAAATATTTCAGCCGATAATTGCCGATGTACAAATGTGCATAAAGTTTAAATAAATAGAATCAGTTTCTAAAAATATTTATGCTATAGGGAGTAAAAAAGCAAACGGGTCATCTGATGATAAATGACACCGACCACCGCCGTCCATTTAGACCTGCAACTCCAGAGCCATAAGTGTGCTGCCGGTATTATGTGCAACCACAAAAAAAGGTAACCATCGGACTCCGGTAAACATATTCAATAGGTGATTGCGTAACATCGGCTTTCTGTGAGGTCATGGTATTACTCCATTAGAGTCGGCCTATATGGATCTCCCACGGCAGAAGTGTATCCTTGTTACAATAGATTTTTATAATAAATAGTATAGTAGTAATAAAAGATTTATTTAAGCTGACGGTTTAAAAAAAGGCCGCTATTTATTTTCTCGGTGCTCAAGTGCAACACTGCATAAATTCAACAACCAGAAAAAAAAAGAAATTGAAAGTGAAGTTCATGAATTAAACAAGGAGTTTTAGAAAGATAAAATAACATTAAAATTTTGGCACTAGTTTTTGTTTGAATGTTTAATAAAACATATCCGGAAAACATAGCACGCAATACTCGTATTAGTGATAATAATATATGTACGTGTGTGTTCAGGTTTAAAGATACGTTTCTTTAAAATAAATTTGAATTAAGAAATATTTTCCCATGTGTGGCGGTGTGTGGCGATCCGTGTAGTGGCGGTGTGTGGCGATCCGTGTAGGGACGATTAAGAATACAGAGTGCCACCACTCCTATTAATCCCGTTTGCCGACTAAGGAAGCAAATTACGTAGGACAACAGCACTGCAAAGATAACGCAAACTTGACACGAACCCCATACCAACCCGTCTGGCCAGCGTGGTATAGTAGGCCAAAACCTACTATACCACGAGGCCTATGTCCAGAATTTTTTTCAGCAAGAACTGGCGATGTCAGCGGTAACAGTTAAACGAAAGGATATCCGGAAATCCTTACTGTCAGTTGCACATGTATAAAGCAATATCTTTTGAATAAGGTTCAACGCTCTCAATACAATAGGCATCATATTGTTACGAATCTACGATATCCTAGTCGAATTACTACTTATGAATTTGATAGTCGAAATACCGATATATATTATATATGTAGTAGACAAGCTGATAGCAATCAATCAGGCCAGTTGTAATTTTGTCAAATTCATCTTAATATATTTAAGAAATTTGTAACGTTTAGGCGTGGGAGGCCTTAAACTTTAAATCCGACAATTTTTAGAATACCTATTTACGGCTTAAAACATAATTTCCACATCTACCTACGTACCAATTTTTTTTAAATTTATTATTAGTGTAATTTTTAATTATTCACTAGGGTGTAAGAAAGTTTTGCAAATGTCAGCCAGTGGGTGGCAATTTATTTTAAAAGTCAATCAAATCCAGTTTCTATTACATTTACTGTAAGGAAAATAACTTATTATGTTCCAAAATAATTCATCCAATTCAATCAGTTTCTTTAAAATTATAATTAAGTACCTACCTATTCCGTGTAGGTTACAAAGTCAAAATTAGGCTTGAAATTTAGTTCAGTTAGTGCAGGTCACACAGTACAAGCACAGTTTATAACCCGTATAAAAATAGCTTTACCAGTAGCTACTTAAATATTGAAAAGTCTAAGAAAGACTGGCTGTAGAAATGTTATAACAGCACACCTAGCAGTACGTAAGTGCTTGCTATTGATTTTACAATCAAGACGGCAGACACACCTTCCGGACGGACGGGTTGATTCCAAAGATATAGAGCCCACTCTTTGTCTATAATATATATGTATTTAGAAATATATAAGTATGTTTATCAACAGTCTGGTTACTATAGTACAGGCTCTGCCTAGTTTGGGATCATACGACCTAGTGTGAAATGTGTAAAAGTGTTATTATTACTGTATAAGAAAACACACTCAAAATTGTAGTACAGACTTTAACTAAAGGTTATTAAACCATTGAACCTTAATAGAATAATTTGGATTTAAACGGTTTTTAATGATATACTCGTAAGTTTCTTTGATCACGGTATATATGATAGAAGAATATATTGAAAAATCTTTGAAATGACAGTTTTAGTCTGTCCTGAAGCAAATACTGTTGATCTACATACAAGCAGTTTTTTATTCTCAATAATTTACGTGAAGGCCTAGTGCTGAACAGTTTTAATTTTTTTTAAACATAATACTTTCTTAATAACAAAACTGTATTAATTGGCACCAGCTTGCCTTAGGTACTGCGCAAAAGCGCTGTGAGAGCGCTGGTACCCACAAGTTTCATCTAGTATTTTAGCACAGATATATTAAACTGCATGTACAGATGTACATACAGTTTAATAAATCTTAGTATAGTTAGGTTACTATTTTAAGTGGTTTTTGTAGAAATATAGACCATTTTGAATATAAAAAAACCACGAAACTACAAACTAAAATTGGAAACTGCAGTTTGAACTATTGGGTGCACCCTTTGAACTATTTACTACATCAGAAGGTGTATGCGAGTAAAACGTTAAAAACTTCAAAACGTCAATCAGGTGCTTATATATTTATACCCCTATGCCAATGGAGGTTTTGATGGACAGCGAAAGGATTCTATTTTACAAGCATACATGCACGTGTCTTGCGCACGAATGTTGGCAGATAAATTTGAAACACTTCCCGATGTGCTCAAATTGGACCTACATATATCTACATATATAAAATCTCGTGATATAATAATTCTAAGCAATATGACAAACACGATCAACCTAATTTGTCACATTTAGATAGTGGTGTGTCGGTAATTGATCACACAAGCATTCGTCACAACGTTAAATTCACTTTAATGTCAGAGTCTTGGACAACAAGAGACATTGATAATTAATTCGAATCTACCAATACTCAGTACGAAAATACGGTCTATTTACTACTACGAGTATAACTGCAATATTAAAAATAATTAATATTGATATTATGATCCTTCTATTTATTCTGATTCAATAATTCTTCTATTCATTCTGAGCTATATTGGTGATATAGTTAATAAGGCAATAAAAAGGTACTAATATCGATGATATCAATAAATCGTTTAAATCTTTATGGAATCATTGACCTGGCATTGCTCATTAATTTTAATAAAGGAAAAAGTATTCCTATAGTGTTAAGTATTATTATTTTACGAATAGCCATGGCGTGAGATTTTGTTTTGGTAAAAAGAATAGGTCTTTTTACTAGCTTTTAAACTGTCACATCACATGATATTTGATTGTTAGTAATATAACGCATTTCAGTTATAGGGCACTGACTTGTGATCACGGCCAGTGCAACCTGGTTGAAACTTCAGGCCATTCACAGGTAAATATTTTAATAGTGGAAGTGTCAAACGTTACTTTCGTTACGATGAAAGAACACTGCAGTAAAAAATCACGTTCATTTTTTGTTCTTTAGCAACTTAGAATGTTTTTATTTACAGTGGCGTACGAGTTGTGTATGCGTACGTAATGCGGCTACCAATAATATACCGTAATGTATAAACATTCAAGCGTAAAAGTAAATAGAAGAATAAATTATTTATAATTTTACGAGAGCGTTCCCATTTGTAGCTACCACTTCTAGGGAAGAAGTGGAAAGTATGGATATAAGAAATTAGTATTAGGGTCAAGTCGTGTATGCTGAGCGCCAAAATGAATTTATTTTATTTTTTAAATTTGTTTTTATTTACATACAAGAGCCATACCGGACCATAGTAAGCGGTTCTAAGCTCACAATACCAACATGAATTGCAGTCAGTCAGTACAGTTTATTTTTCCAAATTATCCCCTTAACAAAGTGGTAAAGTCTGAGGCACAGATTGTTCCCACAATCTGTCGAAATTTCATTTACGACTCTACTTTGCATTCTGAGTTACAGTCTGAGTTCTGTACCAGTTAACAGTGTTGCCGCGCATTTTGCCGTTTATGGGACACAATCTCTAATTTCAAGGTGCATCCAAGACAGTTAGGTAATTAAAAAAAACTCAGTTGATACGTAGTTTTAAACAGTGTTCGTCAAATTTGAATTTCGAATAACCATTTGACAAGTTGATGATTGAAAATTGAACGTTGACAACCGATAATCGAGAAATTAATTATCATACCTACCTTTTTTTCTTTTTTTGTGCGGAAATCTCCTCGACTAAAACCGCACGCCGTCTCATACCCTAACATTTCACATTAGTAAATATACGTTACGTATTAGTAATACGAAATATGACCTTACCCATAAAAGCAGAAGGAATTACGCTGAGAAAAAGTTTTTGGCTTCTTACTGGTACACCAGTTTCTGAATCTTGCATTTCTCTGATCAAACTTTCCATCTGTAAAAAACAACAATATAGTTTAATATTGTATGTTCCAACGGCGTGAAGGATCTATGGAATGAAGTTTCTTTTGCTTTTTGGTAGACGTTTGCTATAGTGTCGGCAAAAGTCTTGTTACACATTTTTCGATTTCGCTCCCATTCGCTTAGAGCGCGTAACGCGCGATAAGCAACTTCGTTTCTATAATTTATAATCAGGAGTTTAACTTATAATAGCCACCAAAGTCGGAGTCGGACTCACACACGGATAATTATAAATCATGGAACGAGCAAATTTAAAAGTGTGTAATGTGTGTAATTATAATTTTGGTTCATTTATTGTTAAAACGGTAACATGCGATTAAATACGTATTTGAAATACACAAAGAAGACTTAGTAATACGATTCCTTTGGTACCTTTTCGGTACATAACCATAAAAGGTGTTTTAAATGTGTATTATTACACATACAAACTAAAAAGTCAGACTAATATTCCTTGAAACAAAATATATAGATCTCTTTTATTTATTTTTACGTGTGGAAGCCTCCTCGGGCCGTCACTTCACCGGGATTTGCGGCGGGGTTGTCGGAATCGGACCGACTAAAACCACACAGTGTGCCACTCTCCGTCTGTAATAGGAGGGATACGGGAACTGCTATTATTAAGACATCCGGACCCCTCCTAGCGCATGCCCGCAACGGTGCGGGCACCACCTTCGGGTACATTCTCTATTTAGGCGACGTCCGGCACACGCGACCGTCGCCTCATCGCGGCTGGCCCTTATGACGGGTAGAGGGGAAAACCCGTCCCATCCACCGTAGCCACAGTCAGGGCGGCATGAGGCGCTGGTAAGCGCACCTTCGCCGGTCGGTTCGTTGGCTGCGAGTTGGGTCCGAGTGGAGATTATCCTTTCGGACCCTCTCCGCCGCCTCGTTCTGTGAGATGACGTCTTCGCAGAAGGATGCGACCGCGTTAAAACAACTATCACTACCGGCCATGGAACGTATGACGGCCGGTAGCGAGAGATCCCTCCCGATGAGTGCAGTGAGAACCCGACGCTGCGACGCCCAAGCCGGGCAAATTGCTCGCGTGTGCTGAGCCGAGTCCTCACTGCAATCGCAGTGGTGACAGGCGGGACTCAATTCCCTCCTAGCGACCGAGTGCAGGTACTTCCCAAAGCAGCCGTGCCCGGAAAGGTGACACAGACAAGGAAAGGGTCCCGTGCTGCCGCCCATTCGACGATGACCGGTTGGAGCGCATCCACGGCGGCAAAACCAGCACGTGGAGCCCTCAGCCGGAACTACCAACGAGAGATAGTGGCTGGACGAGCGGCCTTGCGCCACTTGCGTACTTCTTCGGGTGGGGGCCGACTGCCGCTAACCGCCGGGAACTCAGTTGTCCGCCGATATACTTCAGCGAGCACTTCTGCATCCAAATGGCTCTAACCGCCAATACCCTCTGAGTACTCTAATTATTTTAAGCGGTGAGAGCCGCTGCCCACACCGGTTCGCCGTACAGTGCCATTGACCGGACAACGGCCGTATGCAGCCGTCTTGTTGCGATGCTGGGTGCACCCAGAAATATATAGATACCTAGTGGAGCGCTATACCCGAGTCGCTAATGTCGCTAGATCTGTGTTCTACTTACTAAGTTTATAAGTTGGGGGATGATTGCTTTTTTTAGAGACGATGTTCTCTGGAATTTTAAGTTAGATTTGTTTTGTATTAAATAGAGTATTGATAAATAACGGATTCTAGGGCAATTTACACAATATGCATGCATGCATACATTATATGCAAATGCAACGTCCTTTAATTCTTTTAAGTGAAGCAATTACCATTAACCTAGTAGAAACTGAGGGACACAACAAGTAACATACCGTAATAGTAAACTTAATACATAAAAATAATCAACGTTCTGATTGACTTTTTAGGGTTCCGTACCTCAAAAGGTAAAAAAGGAAACCTTATAGGATCACTTTCTTATCCGTCTGTCGGTCTGTCGGTCTTTCCGTGTGTCACCACCGATTTTCTCAGAAACGGGTAGACCTAGCAAGTTGAAATTTATACCAGATACTGACATCTATCAGATCTAGAAAAACCAAGGTCCTGAGTCAACACGATAAAAAGATATGGCCAAATTTAGATTTTCGCGAAAACTTGTAAGTACCAAAATTTACCTTAATATTTAACTTTTTTTATTTTTAGTTGTTCCCGTTGACCTAGAATCACAAAATTTGGCAAAAAAAACGTCTTACAGTACAAATAAAGGAATAATTCCAAAAAATAAAAAAAGTTGAAAATTAAGATAAATTTTGGTACTAACAATTGTTCGCGAAAATCTACGTAAAATCTGGGTAGGTACGGAACCCTCGGCGCATGAGTTCGACTCGTACCTGACCGGCTTTGTTTTATTGACAACCATACAATACTGAAAATCGATCATCGTGTTTTACCATTACTCTCATTATTTTGTCTTTGAATCTTTAAATTATCACTAAATTCGTAGAACATTAAACAAAAACAAGAGATACGTAAAAGAAACCTTGTAGCAGGCATAAAACTTCAGAACTAACGCTTTAAATATTTGATAAAACAATATTCAGTCAGTACCATCATTAGTGAATTTACATCTGACTTAAATAATATCGCATTAAACATTTTTAAAGTAAAATGTACTCTAAATCTGTTTAAGAGATTTAAAAAATCGCTGGTTTATGACATCATTTGCGTCCTTTTAGGTCAACATGCACTCGAACTGGTCTCTAGAGGCGTCGAGGGCTATCCACAGACGCAAGTAGCTGACCCTGCGCTGAATGCTAGCTGAGAGGCTCTCTACTCTACAGAGGGTTCTCCTCCACCCGATACAAAGCCGCTGCACCACGCTTAACTCAATTTAATACGGTCGAGAGCGATCGTTCGCCGCCGACATTGATTTTACATTCAATTAGAATTTCCCGATGCAAGCGATGGAAAATTAAGCGACGAAAATAAATTACTTACGTTATTTAATAGGTATTTGTGAAAAAGAGTATATATTTACAAGTTTCACCATGTAGTAGTTGATAATTGAGGTGAATTTTCTCGCACTTTACCTGTGTGGAGCTTTTCAAGGCACTTTTTACCTCGTACAACCAGTCTATGGAACAAATTATCGTCTGCGGTATTCCCGGTCCGATACGGCCTTCAAGGATGATTATAAGAATATTTATCAGCAGGCTGGTTACCATAGTACATGCTCGGTCTAGTTTGGGATCAGACTACCGTGTGTGAGATGTGAGAAGTTAGTATTATTATTATTGTTGATATTTTATTATCGGTTAAGTCTTAGCTGTTGCGCAGTAATTTTTCAATTCCTTTTGACCTTTTGTTGTGTCGCTGGCAACGTTTAAACAAAATTGTATGATGACCGGATGAAGAAGTAAGATCATAATTTGATTTCATTAAAACATGCGCGTATATAAATACACCTTTAGAAGATTTTAGAAGAAACAAAGGAACGTTATACACAGTCATGTATTATAGATTTTGCTTATGGGTTTTTTGACTATTATTTTGACTGTTGAGCAATCTTAAATATTATTAACAATCTTGAATATTAAATATTATCAACTGAGAGACAATAAGTAATCAATAATCAAAATATTTGCTGGAAGGACTTGTGCGTGAATTCGTCCTCGAAGATGGGAGCTGGAAGGCTAAGGCGGTGACGTCACGGGCACGATCGATCCGCCGGCGCCTATGTGGTGCGGGGCGAGGGGTCCTTCACATCTCGCAATACCGAGGCTTTGAGCTCCCGTCTTCGTCGCAGCTTCGGCGAGCTTCGCCTCTACCGAATCTATGTACGATTCATTACCCCTACGGATTGTTTATAAGCCATGTCTCGTATTCGGATTTTGAGGTGCTCAATTCGACATTTATAATAATAGTGTCAGGATTGTGGCACTTGTGGCAATTGGCACCTAAAGTTTTTACAAGCAATTAATGAATCTGATTTGTACTTATTGCAGTACTGCTATTATAATAATATTTTTAATTTTCTTATACCTAAAGAAAAATCATCTATATTTAATGATATCACTTCATCCTACTAAAAAGACACTCATAAAATAAATATAAATATAAAATTTTTGAACTATAAAAGCGTTAATGGAGCATCGTTGGGCTGGAAAGACTATGGTCCAAGAACTTGGCAAATAAAAGTGTTTATGTCAGAAGGGGCGTATTATTATCTATTCTGCACTTTTGCAAATTTATTTAAAAAAGTATCTACGTCTGCGTACGTTTACTAATAGACGCACTGTAAATGTGAAGGACAAAATTCGGTATTAAATTCAACTGTTGTTGATAAAATACATATTTTTTTATAACTTAGAAGCAGGCTTATGTAAAAATGAATTGCAAATGTTCGCTGATTTTGCATTAGATTCTGGCGGCGAGGCGAAGGGTGATACCGTGTAGGCGGGAAGGGTGAACGCGCGCCCTTTTGGATTTTCGCTGAGTCTGCTTTAATTAATAAAATATTTTTACTTTATAGCGATATAAAACTAAACACAGCGGCAGCATTAAAGTCCGAAACTTCAAAAAAGTAATTATTTCGTATTTGTTTTAAAGCAAAGAGTAAGTAATGAAATCTAAAGTGTATTGTTAGTTTTCTTTGATCTTAACATAATACTTGCGCTTATTTTTTGTTATTTTGTTTTGGTATTTATTTATTTTTATCCTGTGTTGTCTCCATAACAGGGCAAAGGCTTCCCTCTCTCTTATTCACACCTCTTTATCATGTGCTGGTTAAGACTAATGGACCGGTTTTTTCATTTTTTTTAGTATTGTTCTATTAATTTTTGGAAATGTTATATAACCAATAAACCCCTCCGATCCACTTATTTCATTCTATTGATTACGTTACTCTCTGAATCTCTACTTTTATTAATTTAAGAAACGTAGACTAAACGTAGATTTTAAGTCACAAATACACATGATCTAATGACATGACTGTTGTGTGGCCACAATTAGAAG